GAAGAAAAGGGAGAAGACTAGAATAGCAAAGTCTACAAAAGATCTGTTTAAAGAAATGCCCCTTAATAATTTTTAAAGGGTGCAGGGGGCTGGTTTTTTTTTTTTTTACTCCTTTCTTTATTTTCCAAAGGCTTTAATTTTGTGAATTTTGGAGCACTGGCAAGAAATTTCTTCATAGCACATCCTATGTGCAGACATACCCACCAACTGTCCCAATTTGACAGGGGCAGTTCTGATTAAACCTCAGTTATCTCACTTTTCCAGCTGTTTTAAAATGTCCTGATTTCTCTCCCCTCTCCTTCACATTTGTACACAGCTTATTTCAGTTGCTGCAAACTGAATGAAAGTGTAGTTTGTACACAACTCAATCATAGTAGAGATGGGAACAGAATCTTGCTCTTCTCATTTGGCTTGAGCAAAAACAAACAGCTGCATCCTCTCTTTGCTTCTCTGTTCTTAATAGTAACTTTTGTAATCTTGATCGCGCTGTCGTGTTGCTTGGCCACACATGTTTCAATTTTCATCTGTAAAATGTTAGCATCATAGAATGATGAGTTGGACAAAAACCACAAGAGCAATCCATCCCAACTCCCTGCCATACAGGAACATAAAATCAAAGCACCCCAGACCGATGGCCATCCAGTCTCTGTTTTAAAAAACCTCAAGAGAAGGAGACTCCACCATGCTCCGAGGCAGCTTATTCCACTCCTGAGATGGAATCTCTACTCCTGCAATTTGAATCCATTGCTTAGTGTTCTAGTCTCTGGAGCTGCAGAAAACAAGCTTGCTCCATATTCAATATGACAGTATTTAAACATGGCTATCAAGTATCCTCTGAGCATTCTTTTTGCCAGGCTAAACATACTCAGCTCCCTCAGCTGTTTCTCATAAGCTTGGCTTCCACACCTTTGGCCATTTTGGTTGCCGTTCCCTGGACACTTTACAGCTATCAATAGTCTTCTTGAATTGCAGTGCCCAGAACTTGACACAGTGCTCCAGTTGAGATCAGACAAAAGCAGAACAGAGTGGGAATTCCCTCCATGTTGAAGAGTATACTGCATATGAAATTCATGGTCTGGGCTTTCTCATAATTTCCATTAATGAATTTATAAGAGAAGACCTCTGTAACAATGATGAGTTCTGAGGGATCTGACTGTTCATATCCTTAGGTCAGTTTCACTTGAGTGACCAAATGAGCCTAGAGAGGGAAAGAACCCATCCTGTGTGGTCTTCCCTCTCTCGGTAATGCAGGATTAACACATTTTCCCACCTCTGTTTTTGCTTCTCTAGATAAATGTATTCATACATGCCCTCTCTAATCTAGCCTCTGCACCTGGCTTTCTGCACTCTGGAGAAGCCCTCTTTGCATTCCTTATCTACACAGATTCAGGGAGCAATAACTTAAAAACCATTCTCTTCTGCAAACTGCAGTGGTGTGAACCATAGATCATTTGGATATCAGGAAGCCCTTGTTGTTTCCAGTACTGGCCGCACAGAGTGGAAATCCTGCCACATCAGGCCACAAGGTGTGTGTGCGTGTTTGAAGGCTGTTGCTGATGAGGAATGAAATAGAGACCACAATGAGCCAGGAAGGACCCCCTAAATGTCTTAACATTGTCTTTCCACCAAGATAAATGGCTTCCTTTCTATACTAGTCATGAGTCGTTTTCTCACCACCATTAGTGCCTGCCAAGTAGGTTATTTTTTTTAATACTGATGGTGTTTCTATACTGCTATCAGACTATAGCAAGACTCCTTCCCCATCCCAGCCATCAGAGCTTTGTGTTTTGGGGTGATTTAGAATTGTCCATACTTACCTGGCATGGGAGATAGTTAGAATTATCCAGGGATTTTACAGATATTGATTAGAGGCAGAACTTTATTTCTGTGCTTGGGATCCATGGTTCCTAAAATGAGATTGAAGTAGATTTACTGGGACCTATGGAAAGAAATAATAGCATTAATTGGCATAGAAATGAAAACCTGTCATTGGGCATCATCATTTGTTAAATGACAATGCAAGATTCATGGTTCTAGATCACTCAAAAAAGCTGATATCTGGGCAATGGGAGTAACATGGCTATAGTAGAAAAAGGCACAGCAAAGGCACAGTAAAGGTTGCTTTTTATATTCTTGCTATGGGGTGCTCAAATTTACCGTCTCCAAAAAGTAATGTTTCCAAGCTTTGAGTTTATAAATTAGCATTAGCCTGTGAAAATATTTGATACAGAGATGCTCAAGGATTTTATTGATTTGGCTTCTTAAAATGCACTGATTGACTTGTTTGTCCTGGACTAATATGTGGATTGTTCTCCTTTGGTTTTTGCCCTTTTCCAAGTGATGCAATGCAATTGTCTTCAAACATGTGATGCAACAGCTACAAAAGCAACATCAATAGTGTCTAGATCCAGAGAAGTCATGCTACCCTTCTATTCTGCCTTGGTCAGACCACATCTGAAATACTGTATCCAATTCTGGGCACTACAATTGAAGGGAGATGTTGACAAGCTGGAATATGTCCAGAGGAGAGCAACTAAAATTATCAAGTATCTGGAGAACATGCCTTATGAGGAGCGGCTTAAAGAGCTGGGCATGTTTAGCTGCAGGGAGGAGGGAGCAAGCTTGTTTACTGCTGCCCTGGAGACTAAGATGTAGAACAATGGCTTCAAACTACAGGAATGAAGATTCCACCTGGACATTAGGAAGAACTTCCTGATTGTGAGAGCTATTCAGCAGCAGAACACTCTGCACCAGAGTGAGGTGGAGGCTCCTTCTTTGAAGGCTTTTAATCAGAGGATGGATGGCCATCTGTCAGGGCTGTTTTGAATGCAATTTTCCTGCTTCTTGGCAAGAGGTTGGACTGGATTGCCCATGAGGTCTCATCCAATTCTATGATTCTATGCAACATGTTGCATGTTAACATATACAGTATAGATATTTTAGAGTTAAAACATACAAAATATTTTTTAGGGAATGTATCTTAAAAGTGTGAAAATTTTCACTAATTTCAGATTGAAGTGGAAGCATGATTGTATGTGCTTCCACTTACACAAATGTGTAAGCACTTGTTTACTTATCTGACATCAACTCAAAATTGGTATCAGAGTAGATTAAAAACGTCCTGTGTTTCATGTAAGAGAAATGCATTGTGTTTCCTGTGCTTCTACTTGCTCACTACAGAGGCAATTTGAAGAAGGAGAAAGCAGGGAGAACATAGCAGCACCTTTCAGACTAACTTTTAAAATATATGAGCTTTCATGGGTATAAATCCATTTCTTTGGATGCAGAACAGAGGCCCGTTCCACACAGCTGAATAAAATCCCACATTATCTACTTTGAACTGGAATATATGGCAGTGTGGACTCAGACAACCCAGTTCAAAGCAGATATTGTGGGATTTTCAGCCTTTATATTCTGGGTTATATGGCTATGAGGAAGGACCCAGAGTGAACATCTGCAGAAATAAATTCATATCCATGAATGCAAAATTAAAATCCAGATAATCTTAAAGGTGCTGATGCATTTTTCTCTCCCCTTCTCTTTATTCTGCCGCAGACTAACATAGCTACTCCTTGAAGACTCAGATCAGTACCTCGTATATTTGGCTATATTTGATCCCTAGTAAATCTAGCTGAACTTCAGTTTCAGCGTTTCCAGTCCTGTGTCTTGTTTCAATTCTGACTTACAGCAAAAGCCCCTAAATTTTTTGCATGCAGACCCAGAATTGCTGTGCCACATCTGGTGGCCAGACGATGTTTCATTTCTTCATATGAGAAAGAAATGAAAGTGCAAAGCACCCACTTCTTGTAGTATGCTCGGCTAATAGTTGAAAACATACTATTTTTTCTATTGATATCACTGTCTCTCTCTAGGAAACTGACTATTTGTAACAGGGCAGCAGAAAAAGCAGGTTATCTCTGGTTGGGGATATCCTCCTCCACTCTTGTCAGTTTACTGCAAGACTACAGCTGAGTTAAAACTTGCCTTTTAGAAAGTTTCACTTGCTACCACAGCTCATGACTGCCATCGCAAGTCTCCTCTCTGTATCACTAATTGGGAACCAAGTACAGTTTGGTGCAGCAACTTGTAAGGCTTCTGAGATGAATGTTTGAAAACAGTTTTCCTCCTCTTCATGCTAGGAAGGGAGTGACTCATTGAATTTCTCTCAGTCTCTTCTCCCTTTTCTTCCTCACTGGTTTGGATGACTGAGTGCCTTGGTGAAAAGCTAGTGCAGCAACTTAACTTCTTAACAGGTAAGTCTGCTCCAGGCGTTCGGCATTACTGATAAATCTGCATTTGAAATACACAAATGCATATGTGGGAAAGATCCTTGTGTATTAGAGCAATAACCTATCAGGAATCCAACAACGTTCCTAATATATTCTTGGAATGTGGAGGGAGGCCAGGAGTGACAGATTTAACAGATTCCTGTGTCTTGGACCTTGCAGGAAGCTCAATATTCTGGGTGGGGAAAAGTGTGTTTTTGTTGGAGAAATGGCAATTAGCCATGATTGCTAATATCTGGTAAAATCTTCTACACTTCTCCCACATATACGGCTGCTGCTGGTTTGACATTTTGCTCCTCTAACACTGCTCAAGATTTTCTATGGGCTTCAAACAAATATGTTCAGCTCCTTGACTTTAACCAGATTGTTTTATAAGACTATCTACCCCAATTTTCTTTCCCTAATTTGGCCCTATGATGAGACAGTATTTAGGCTTGTTGGGCTTAAATCACATTCATGGCCATGATTAGGGGAGGCTGATGACAATATGTTATGGAGAAAAGGAAAAGGCAGGATAACATGGAGATGTTATCTTAAGGCTCCTTTGGCAGTGGCAACCTCCAAAGTCTTGAATTATCTAGAAGGCAATGTTGCAACAGATGTGACTGCATTCTAATTTCAATGTGTATATGTCATTGGTGAGTGGCATTTTTTGCTAACAGCAGAAATAATAAGAAGCAGGAAGGTCATGAGCTCTTTTGTTATTTTAGAAGTCAGAAGGAAAAGTCATTGCAGGACTTGTGAGAAGCCACTATGAGCAATGCTGGAAAGCCAGTGGGACCAGAACCAGCTCTTATGACTGCGGTACCAAAAAGAAAGAGGGGGCGACCAAGGAAACAGCCACAGGTAAACATCCATCCACTTAATTGTTCAATATTCTGCTTTTTTATCAATTTGGGATATATGGTATTGGGTGCCAATGCCCTATATGGCATAATCAGAGTTATACAGAATAACTAGAATGGAGACTTTATTAAATTATTCCAATCTGGGGTCCAAAAAGCTTTTTGTTTGCATGTACTCACCTATGTAAGCAGAAAATAACTTGGTGGTTTTGAACTTGGCCATTCGGGTTATGATTTGTTCAATTTTAGAAGAAGGAAATGTATCTTACCTCAAATCTCAGTTCTTAAATCCTAAAGATGGCTTGCAAAAATGCAAGCAGACCCACGTAGGCACACAAAGTGAACACATTTTCCTCTGGTGTGATATGTCTTTGCAATAAAGAAGCTTATATACTATAATGATGATGTTTGCATATCTGAATAATGTGGGCAGGGAAAATATATGTATTTGATCAATATTGAAATCATAACAAATATGCATCTGATTATTACAAAATAGTATTTCAGTAGTGCATAGAAGAATGAATATTTATTCAGATAAACTGATTAAGACTGATGGAAGCCACACTTAAATTGTACAACACAAGCATAGCAAAAGCAGTTAACAACAACAACAACAACAACAACAACATATAGTTGTTTTTGTTGTTGCCTTTGTTTTGTTTTTGTATTTCTGTTTTTATTTTTTATGGGTTTTTTTGTTTTCATATTTCTGAAAATAAACAACATATAGCAATTGCAACAAGAAACCATGCCTGCTTGTACCTCTGCTAATATTTTTACACAATGCATATGCAATCAAATGTCTTTTTCCCCCTAAAGTGTTCTGGGGTTTTGGGGGTTTTTTTGTTGTTGTCTTTGTTTTGTTTTTGTCTTTCTGAAAATCCTGTATTACTGCTTTGCTTCATATTTCCCTTTTATTTATCTATGGTGACATTGTTTGGCTACCCAAAAAAGTCAGGGGGTGGAAATACTCTTAGTATATGAATGTTTGTCTGTTACAAAGAACCTGAAAGGTTAGCTGTGATTGCTTCTTATGTTATGGCAAAACATTGCAGAATTAAAACTAACAGGAAACCATGCTTCCACCATGTGGTGGAAGCTCCTTCCTTGGAGGCTTTTAAACTGAGGCTGGATGGCCGCCTGTCAGAGGTACTTTGTGCTTTTCCTGCATAACAGAGGGTTGGACTAGATGGCCCATGTGGTCTCTTCCAGCTCTAACAGATTTATTATAGATCTGTCATGGACAATATAAAATAACCCATTAAAATAATCCCAAATCGGTTCGTATCGGCCATAAAATTATCAAAATTAATTAAACAGTCTAAAATACCCAGAGAGGTAAAATGTGATTATAAAGTGCAGGTTTTAGGCTTCTGTCACCATTACTTAAAAGCTATTGTATACCTGCCAAATAAATAAATGCATTCAAGAGCAGGACTAAATTGTCTCCAGAAATCAAGAATAACTCAGGACTTGCAAACTCAGGGTCCATCCACCTGTAATGCATTCTTCTTCTCATCTTACTGCCCACTACTTTACCAACTGTGTTTTTAATAAACCATGTCATCTCCTGATGTGTCCAAAGTACAATAGCCTTAGTTTGTTTGTATTCGCTTCTAGAGGTGCTTCAGGGGTCAATTTGCTCTAGGAACTATTTCTTGATCATTTTCACATTACAATACAATCCCTATATCTGCAAGGGATATGTTCCTGTACAAACCACAGAAAACCATGAATTATAGTAAACCCTATTGAAATGAGTTACTTCTACTGGAAGTTACTTTACAATCACCCAGGAGGACCTAGAAAATTTCTAGAGAATACATATTTTGTCAGATGCAGGTGGTGAAACTCAGTCCTGTGGCTATGAGATCATTCTGAATATAATATTCATAGAATTCCAGCATAATGTTTTTAAGTATTTTCTTCCTGTCAGCTTTCCTCACTGTTGAACTTTCACAACTATACGTAGAAATAGAAAATACTAAATCCAGAGATGCCAAGGTTTCTAAAGCACATAGGTTTTGAATTGTGAGTTTTTAGAAATGTAACATTAAAAAGAATTTGAAAGATTTTGAATTAAGAAATGCATTTCTTAATTTAAAATCTGCATAATGAAATTGGAAAATAACTATATTTCTGATAGTCCCCAATATTCCTTTTATTTCTGCTCCATGTTCATTTGCTTTTTAAAAAGATTGCGTTCATGCTAGCACTTTTAAAATTTAGATAAATGCTTCTTAGCTAAATGTAACTTGGTAACAACAACAGAACAGAAAACCTAGGATGATGGATTTTCTGACAGGATACACAAAGAATATAATAAAAAGCCAAAATCCAATATACCACTTACAATTCTCCCACTGAGTAAAAATTCTTGTTTGTCTTTTTTAGTTCTGAAAAAAGATTTAACACCCAACAATCTGTTACATGAGTAAGATAAAAACCTGTTTGAATTTTGACAAACTCCCCAAAAAGTCAGCTATCATTCTAGGAATTATTGACATCTTTTGGAACTAGTCATCTAAGGCCCGTTCTACACTGCCATATAATCCAGATTATGAAAGCAGAGAATCCACATTATCTGCTTTGAACTGGATTACATGAGTCTACACTGCCATATAATCCAGTTCAATGCAGATGATCTGGATTTATATGACATTGTAGAAGGGACCTAAGAAATTGTAGATGTGAATTATTCTTTGTATTCAAATGATAATCTTATTTCTTGAAATGTTTGAAATTTAAAATAGTTTGGATTAATCAACTTGTTTCCTGCACCTGTTGAATTTCTATTTTGTTTTGTGTGGGTATGTGGTCTCCGTGTATCCTCTCAGAAAATCCATCATCATAGACTTTCTGCTCTAATGTTGTTATCAAGTTCCTTCAAGCTAATTTGGACTAATGGCAGCCTCAATATATAATGAAGGAGGTCTGCCATTGTCTTCTTCTCAGGCCGAGGGAATGCAGCCTGCCCAGGATCTCCCAGCAGGTTTCCAAGTGGCAATTCTAACCCTGGCCCCCTGAAGCCCAAGTCCAAAATCACTGCACCATGCTGCTATTTACCGTGGAAGTCAATTTTCTTTCTCTGTCCAAACAGGAGATTGTTGACCCATTGCCACCAAAGAAACCACGTGGAAGACCAAAAGGAAGCAAAAAGCTGAGTGCTGGTAGTGGGCAGATGGTAAGAGGGGACAAGTGGCTGAAACTTATACAATAGCTTTTAACTAAAGGGGAAGAAGCATTTTTATTCTCTCAAATACTCTAGCTTTTGTTTGGGAGAAACATGGCATAATGTAAGAATATCATTGAGATGGAATCAAATCTGGTCTGGTTTCTATTTGTATGGAAAATCTGATAAGACTTTGGGCTAATGTATTTGCCTCCCACAAATTCTTTATATCTTGTTGATCTTCTCCTATATTGTGACTTACAGTTTGTACTGTGCAGTTATAAACTGAGTAATTTTATTTATTTATTGTATATCTTCACACACATTCCTAAACATATTTTATATTCATATTCTTTTGTTCATTACTCAACCCATCTCTTCCTACAGATGGAGGAGTAGTAGCAGGAGAGAAGAATGTGTGTGCATTTTTAGTTTATCTCTTTGGCTTCCTCTCATTCCTGTATCCAGTGAAAGTTTTGCAAGCGACGAGGTTCACACAATTCCTTCCATTTTGAGTCCTGTCTCTTCTTTCATTGGCTGTTTCCTCCACTTATATAGCACAGTGTCATGTATTCATTGTCATGTATTCAAAAGCAAAGCTATTGCTTTTTGTCCAATTGCACAATATATAATTTCTCTCTATTATTATTAATTTAATGTAGCTGAGGGAACCTGGTTTGTTTGTTTTTTTGTCGTGTCAGGAGCATCCTGAGGGAACCTGTGATCTGAATGGATGCGGGGCTATTCACCCCCAAATGGTGGAGGGGCACCCCATGGCTCAAAACATTGTGTACTCTTTAATACACTATTCTTTGATATCCTGAATCAACCTTGACTTAACAACAGCCTGCTCTGGATCAAAATGATGGTGGTTGTCCTCATTATTATCATTCTCTTGTTGTTTCCATTGCATTTCCCCCACATTTTTACTATCTCAGTGGTATTTTTCTCCTGCTGCCATTCTTCTTCCTTCCAGGTTACCTTATTTATCTTCATTTCAAGGCAATTGACAAGAGAACCATTTCCGTTATGTGAGACCTGAGTCTAATGCACTTTGGAGATTTCCCATGTTTTAGTTGGGACACTTTTTCCTTTTTTCTTTGTTGTTGTTGTGTGTCTTTAAGTAATTTCCATGCTGTGGCTACCCTGAGCAACCCTATCACAGGGTTTATGCAGAAGAGGTTACCATTACCTTCCTGTAAGACTTGGTCAAAGCCACCCAATGGGTTTTATGAGTAGGGGTCTAACCCTGGTCTCCAGAATCATAATCCAATGATCAAATGACTTCACTACACCAGCTATTGCTTCAATAAACACTAAATGGACTCTTTTTTTACCTGTAAACTTCTATATGCCTCCTGATTCTCAAAGCCTGGATCTTTATCTTGGTCTTCCTGTAAATAATAAATGGTAAGATTTTTTCAATGGATAGTATCCTTCAGAATTGACCAAAAGGTTCAGTCAAACTTTAGAAATTTTTTATAATTTATCCTCACTGATTTCCTAGGGTTGGCACAAGCACTAAAAACTCTCATAGTTTTCTTGTTGATACCTTCCCCCATATCTTGAGCTGACACTAAGCAGTCTTGGGGATCTGGATTTGGTCTAGCCATGTTTTTCACAAAGTACTCTGGGCTTAACATTCTTGGGACAAATTTGAAGATTTTTAAATAAGATGGCTAAGACAGATATTCCCATAAGGCATCCTGGGGGGGGGGGGGGTGGGCTGACCAGGATTTCCTCAAACCTCATGCTCATTCTTCCCTCCATTGTTGTAGCAAATTACCCTCTTGGCCATCTCCCACTTTTACTTTGACTTCTTGTGTGTCAACTTTTGCTCTCAGTTTTCCACTGCATTCTTTTACTAAATAATTAAACTATGTAAGGTGATTTTTGTTCCTGGGTTATAAATGTCATTTTCTCATTGGCTCTATCATAAAAACATAGCACATTTTGCTATAGTTTATCAATGAATATCTCATCAAGTCTCAACCAATTCAACATAGTTTGTGGCAGCCACAAAAACAAAATTTCTGAAATATAACAACTACTTTCAAAGTAAGTGCCACACAATTAAGCAGGAGCACCACTTTCAAACCAGGAACAGAAAATCCTTCAAATTTTGTTACATAGTGTTATTCTCCCTTCCCTGTTATCACCAGGTGCTCCTCACCAAGAAAACTTTAAGAATGTTGAGTACTTTGATTATAAAGACAATGTGTTTCCTGAGGTGGTGGTTATTTTTCTTCTTCTTATTTATTACAGGTGCATGCTTCAGTTGAAAAAAGGCCCAGGGGAAGACCACGAAAATGGGTGAGTTGAATAGAATCAAAACTCGGTTGTGTTTGGCACTCCCCAGCTAAGAATCATTTAAAGACGAAGGCTCAAGAGTGATTATATGCATCGTTCTCATTCTAATCAGAAGTAAAACTTGGAAGGCAAGTGACATCTGGGATGTTACATCTGCATGAGGCAATGTGAGGTAATTACCTCAGGTAGCAGGCGCTGGATGGTGTGGAGAAGATCACAGCAAAAATAATAGCAGCCTCTTGCCCAGGCCTTTCTTAGGCTGTATCTATACTGTCATTTGACCCCACTTTAACTGCCATGGCTAAATGCTATGGGATCCTGAGAGTTATAGTTTGATGAGGCATTAGCACTCTTTGGGAGAGAAGAAGAAAGATATTATAAAACTATAACTCCTATGGTTCTATAGCATTGAGCCATGACAGTTAAAGTGGTATCAAATAGCATTAATTCTAAAGTCTGGATCAATGGTTCTCAACCTGTGGATCCCCAGATGTTTTGGGCTTCAACTCCCAGAAATCCTAACAGCTTGGTAAACTGGCTGGGATTTCTGGGAGTTGTAGGCCAAAACACCTGGGGACCCACAGGTTGAGAATCACCGGTCTAGATGAACTCTCAGAGGATAAAGCTGTAGATTCCTCCACCACCAAAGCTAACCCACTTCCCTTATTCATGGTGAAAGAAGCTGGCTTATCACTAATACTGGAATAAAGCTCAAAGTGGGACTTACTTCCAAATAAATATACACAAGAGTGCACACTCTAAGTCTTTCACCAGTTAGTCTTCTTACCGCCCACAATGCCCAATAATTTTTCTGCATTACATCATAGATTTTGTGAAAACTCAACAAGCCTGGCCTGTGGAGACAGAAGAGACTTCTTAGAAGAAAAGACTTGGCTGTAATTGTCCACATTCAAGCTCTTGTTTCAAAGCAGCCTGTTAATACAATTATTTAGTCACCTGCAGAGGGAGATCTCTTATCAGTCAGAAGCAGGAAGGCAAATGGCAAAATGTTTCTTCTCTGTTTTAAACATTGACAGCCTGTTTTCTTAGAATAGCCAATTCATAAAATAAAATAACCTTTAAACACACACATCTCCACAAATTGGCAGGGCTTGCTGGAGTTGCTAAGGATCCTAAGTGAAGAGTCAGAACTGCTATAGTGGCTAACTCTACAACACCTGCTGACATTGTCTGCCCTGTGGTTAAACTGCCATCAACGAAAGGCAGAGGGGAGAAAGGCTCAGTCATGAGTCACCCCACAGCTTTGCAACTTTTCAACCTATTGGCAAGTGGCTGGCAAAAATGTGAGATCAGAAACAGAAGAGGCTTCTGGACCAAAGTTTTAGCCCAAGAGGTTCTTAGGGACTGGTCCAAGAACGAACACATCTGATCCCCAATGCACTTCTGAGTATTTCCTAAGAACACTCTGGCAATAAAGTGGAGGAGTTTTCTACACAAACAAACATACACATTGTGCATTCCTTAACTAGATTCTGAAATACTCCAAAATCCAAAATTGTCCAAATGGATGGCTAAGATAATGACCCTTTGCATTCTGTTGGTTCGGTGTACACCAACTTCATCTCATGCACAAAATACTATAAATATTGTCCATAAAATTACCTTCAGTCTAGGTATACAATGTGTATATGAAACATAAAGGAATTTTGTGTCTAGACTTGGGTCCCATATCCCAGATATCTCATTATGTATATGCAAGAATTCCAAAATAAAAAAAATTAAGTAAATCAGAATCAAAAACACTTCTGGTCCCAAGCATTTTAGTTAAGAGATACTATGCATACATGCACTCGCACACACATCCACAGCCCACCTTTCCACCATCTTTGGGATTATAGCAAACACAGAAGAGCACTTGTGAGGACATATGTAGCACAAGTGAAAGTTGCTACAATGCAGTTAAACTATCCATAAAATTGAAGTATTTAAGAAAGATCCATAAAAGGTCAAAAACTAAGTAAAATGTATATTATTAAAACCCCTTGAAGTCAGTTCATAAAACACAGTTGGAAATTTTTAAAAAGTTTGCATGTGCTGATAGACCATCTTCACCTCCCTAGGGAGTAAGCTATTAAGTGTGTGAATAGCCACAGAAAAGGCCTCACGGATGGAACCATGACAGTTAAAGTGGAATCAAAGTGCTAAATTTCTTTCATGCAAATAGACCCATTGTTATACAGGTAGACTTTGGCGTGTCGACTGAATTTTGATGGAAGATCTAATGGATGGGTACTGTAGTTTCTTCTATTTATGTGGTTTTAAATTACATTTACAGGTAAGTGTCTCCACTCTGCCTACTTATTGCAGGTTGATCCTTCTTTAATTGTCACGGCTTCATCTTTTGTTAGTTGTATGTAGACTTCTAATGTACTTAGATTTCTCTACTAAAAAGCTTTAAATGGTAGTTCTACAATTCCATAAAACAGGACCATTACGTAAGTTAAGTGTTTACACTAACTGTGTTAAGCTAGACACAGTCTAGAGTCCTTGTACAACTACACAATCTTACCTGTTTTGACTTTTAATAACTCTCCAAGATCCAAGGCAGAGAAAAAATTTTTCCCATCACCTATTACCTCATATACAAAACATGGTACCAAATATATCTTAGATGCAAAATAGAGGACTTTTAATTTCTCCAAGAAGTACAGTGGTATTTGTAACTCAATCTATTGAAATGGGCTGCAGCCCATTAAAATTTCACCAAAATAAAATTCCTCAAAATGTAAGGTGTCACAAATCTCTAGATTCAACTCAGACTCCATGCTCATTGCTATTTACTGCACTATGTGTCCGTCTTCATTGCATTCTATAAAATCTTGGTATCCTATATCTATTTTGCCTGTCACAAGTTGATCTTAGGGCCTTTCCTCACAGTCATATAACCTAGAATATTAAGGCAGAAAATCCCACAATGTCTGCTTTGAACTGGGATATCTGAGTCCACACTGCCATATATTCCAGTTAAAGATAATGTGGGACATTATTCAGCTGTGTGGAAGGGGCCTAAGAAACATTCACTGATATTAAGTTGTTACCTCTTGTTGCATGGGCATTTTAAAATTGTATTATCTATTAGCAGTTGTTTCTCTCCCCACCCCTAACACCCTTGCAGCTTGTCCAGGAAGAAGAACATCAGGAAGGGGGAGACGACCCAAGTTGCAATGTATGCCCTGCCACTGAAGGTTTGTGTGACAATTAAAAAAAAAACAATGGGAAAAGCACTAGGTTCTTGTGGGTTTTTTCGGGCTATAGGGCCATGTTCTAGAGGCATTTCTCCTGACGTTTCGCCTGCATCTATGGCAAGCATCCTCAGAGCAACTCTGCTTTGAAACTGGGGTGGAAGGACTGCGGCTTCCACCACAGAAATAAGATATATGCCAATGGTTTTCAGGCAGCCAGAAAGGAAAAATAGTGGTCATATCACTAGCTTTGCATCTCCTTTTTACATGCTGTTAAGTTTCTTAAACATGTTAGGTTACCAGGTAAACTGGGGACTGTTAAACAGTCAAGCGCTGCTGTCTTGATTTGTATGAAAGTGAGTGGAGATGCCACTTGATAAATTCCGAGGTGTCTAACCTCAATTGTTTGAATCCATTTCCTTTCCAGTTCTGCTGTCGTGTCACTTCTCCCCACCGAGGTGCCTGGTGACAGCACAGCCACAGACTCCTTTGTGATGGCCTCACTTCCTACCCAATTCTCTGTCAAACCTGTTTTTTAAATAGATATTTCATGCCACTTTAAACAACAGCTTCAGCGTGCTGCACATTCCACTTCTTTGCTCTGAATAACCGCATTCATATCCACCTACGCACCTATACATACTCCTATCCTACACAATAAGATTGATAGAAATATAAATGACAACGCTTAATACAGCTGCTTAGAATGTCAGAAAAAACTATGTTAGTAGGTGCCAAGTCTTCTCTTGGACAGGGCAGAGGTGTGTAGCAACAAATATGCTTGAGACTCCCAGTGTTTTTGCCACTAAATTCCAAACTCTATGATGACTGGCCGTGTTTGCTGGGCTTCTGAGAGATGCAAATCAAAACATCTGGATGACCAAGAACTAAGGCCCCTTCCACACAGTTGTATAAAATGTCACATTATCTGCTTTGAGCTGGATTATATGGCAGTGTGGACTCAGATAACCCAGGTCAAAGCAGATACTGTGGATTATCTGCCTTGATATTCTGGGTTATATGCTGTGTGGAAGGGCTCTGAGACCCACTCTCCTAGCTGATAGCAAAGTAGACCTAAAGGGTAATATGGACCCAAATATGAGAATATAATAAAAGTAATAAAAATATGGATCTAAACAGGACAGTTTGAGGATATAAAAATCCAAGCAAATAGTTTTAGTCTGCTTCATGTAAGAGGCAAATGATCAGCCACACAAAAACTTACATGACTGTCCTAAGACATCAACATTGACATCTTCATTGTGGTAGTTTGGCAGGCAGACTCACAGCAACTGTATTGATAAGATCTGCAGTTAGCTTCTTAGAACTGTTCATTCATTTTTCATTCCCACATTGCTTTGCTCTGGGGCATCATTCTGACAATCTATCACAGACACTTAGGGAAACTGGGTGTCCTTTACACACAGATATATTGATTTTGGAATGTGGAACACAAGAGAATGAAGAAGCCTAACCTTTTATCTGTCCATTATTTTTCCATTCTGTATTATCCATCATGCAACTTATTTGCTGCTGTTTATGAAGTATTTAGGATTCTCAGACAGAGAACTCTAGTGCCTTTGACAAAACTACCAAATCCAGGATTCTATAAGAGGCAAATATGACAAAGTTGTTATCAGTCCTGAATTTGTTTGTAAATCAGAACAGGTACATTTTTAAGTGTAACTCCAGGCACACACACACACTTTTGATAGCATAGGGAAGGGTTAACACTCTTATGGTGTTTGTTTTGCTGTTTGTGCCCCTGTTCAGAAGATTTCACCTCACTTTCTGTCCCAGTAATAATTGGATTTTGAAAAAATTGGCTTCTTGTGGAAGCAAGGATTGGCGAGAAAGCTCCAGGGAATACATCTTTTCCCCATGATAACTCTTTCAGGAATGAATTTCCCTTCTGAGGGGTAGATTTCTCTCACACATGTTGTCTCATCCCCATTCTTAACTATGAGTCATATGTAAGTTGGATGTTTGTAACTCAGGGACTCTCTGTACTCTAATTCACTCTTCATCTCACTCTCTCTAGGTACATCTGGGAAAGGATGCCACCGGACCAAGACAAACGACTGAATTCAGGAGGTCATTGAGCACCTCCTTGGCTGTGGCTCAGCAGCAGCATTCTGCTTGCTGATTTGTCACTGAAGTAAAAGGAGTGGAATTGTCATTTTGCCCATGTAACCCATGCAAAATGAAGCCTGCACCTGATTGCCCCCGCCTCCATTACTGATGCCACTTAGTGTATTTGTCCCCCACCAAAGTTCTCTAACTTTCTCAAAAGGTTCACTTTTTGAATAGTAGGCTTTGACTGAAAAGGGATTCTGAGATCTCACATGCATTTGTGTAAAATGTAGCCCACAAGCTGTTCTTTTCAAACCTTTATCCTCACTTTGTACCTTGTGTTGTGTGGGGAATGATCATGTTCCCAGAAAGCAAGGACACATGATCTTAAATATGTTTGCTGGAAAGCCTTACTTAGGTTCCTTCCTTGAAAGTCTTCTTAGATAATTTTCTGCTCTGATTTGAACCACATAGAAAACAACCTCTCTAGGCTTTATTTATGTGAGTGTAAAATAAGGACTCAGAGAGAAGGCTTTGACTACCGTTCAGCCAAGGGAACTCTCTGGATTATTTTTGGCAGTCACTTTCTTACATCCTCAGAGAAAGGCTATGACAAATCTCAGGGCAAATCTTGCCAAGGAAACTCCATTATAGGTTCTCATTTGGGTTGTTATAAGTTGGAAATGACTTGAAGTTGTACCGCAACCAGAATTACTTAGAATTATGCATTTAACTGTTCTTTCCCAGATGAGCACCTGAAACCTATCTAGGTTAGATCTTCAAGGGAATTTAAATCAATTCTGTGCCTGGAATTTCTTGAGTTCCTCCTCTGACCCCGCCCCCTATGCGTAACTGACTTAAACAACTTTCTCTACTGGGAGAACCATCGGGTGATTGGTTTCAACCAGCCTCAAAGTGTGAGCAAAGAACAAATGGAGAATTTCTTGGCTTGGTTTGAGAGCAAATGTGATGAAAATGTGATGCCTATTACACCACACCCCACTGAGAAACTATAGAAATGTGATATAATGCTACTTCAAGTGTTCTCAGTTTATGTCAACACAGAAAGAGCCTTGCAGAATTGAACCAAAGGCCTTTTGGGATAGCCTCTTTGCTTCCACAATAGATGCTTAAATACCTCTACAGAAGTCTGTAAACAGGGCTTGAAGGTACAGTTGGTTTTACTTATTCACAGATGCAACCATTCAGGCCTTGAAAATATTTTTAAAAAAGAAGGAAAAAAAACCACTTGATTTTGCCATTTTAAGGGACACTAATTTTTCTACACCACTGTAAATCATGGGACTTGACTATCCACAGATTTTGGTATCCATAGAGTATCAAAGGGGGTGCTTTGAATGCGATGTTCCTGCTTCTTGACAGGGGGTTGGACTGGATGGCCCATGAGGTCCCTTCCAACTTTATGGTTCCATGATTCTATGATCCTGGGGCTAAATCCCAGAAGATACCAAGGGACCACTGCACAGCAATAATCTGTTCCTCTCATACACACTGATGTTGTCTCTGAGCCTATTTCTTTTGAATTTGAAGATTCCACATAGCTATTATGTATAACAGAATGATCCAGTGGAGTGTGAGATGGGGGGTTGAATTGATGGTGTCTGGCCTATCGATCCAAAGCATGTTTGGTGGGAGAGGAAGAAGACTGCTGGGGACAAAAGATGCATACTATCTCAAGCACTGCCATATTTTTCTCTCCCTTTATTAGGGCACGTGCTGGGAAAGGAAAGACATTGGTTCCAGTGTTTTTCATATACACATTTCCAGAAATTGTATTTTTGCCTTGACTGTGAATACAACTAGAAAAGGGAGAGTGACGTTTGCACCAGGAGCATTGAACCCTAACAAGCACTGAAAATGCCATCCTTGGTGTATTTGTGCAATCATCCTTTAAAGATATCTAATTAGAGATCTGAAAGATATTCAAAATCAAAATGCAAAATTATTTGAAAATGTGTTTCAAACAGAATGCCATTTTTATGTAGAAAATACTATTTTCTATTTAAAAAACCCCACATGAGAATTTTAACAACAACAATTTTATTGATTAGCCAGTTGGCCTTATCAAAAACAGACAGTGCAAACACAACATACAACATACATCTGGTCCTATTAAAATAGAACACAAATATATAGGAATTTATCAACTTAAAACCAATGTAGCTTAGCCATAGATATATGCATCAACTATCCTCGTCTCCCCTACACTGAACCCCTATCTGATCTATGTATTCTGATCTCCTTTTAGCAGCTTTAAACAAATAAAGGGCAACTTGTGTCAGCAGAATGGAGTTAAAACCAGCCAACAAAAATGAGTTTTTAGCCGCTGTATCCCAGCTTATTTTATTGCAAATAAAAGGCCATAAATATTTTTTCATTTCTTTTTCATGTAGGTTGCAGTTATGTAAAATGTAGATCAAATTTTCAACTTCAGGGGCCCCACAGATACAGAGCCTGGATGGGGCAGCCACAAAGTTCATATTGCCAAAGATCATGTTGCTTCTAACTAATTTGTAGGCTATGAACGTGCTTATGCTTCAGAAGAAAAGAAAGCACACTAATTCGCTTGTACATAATCTAACCTTTTAAGCGACATAGGGAGTCGGGGGAGCAGGGCTTGAACCGGGTGGGTGAACTCTTTATTCTGTTACACAATGAAATATGGTGGTCTCTCAAAAACCACACCATTGTTGAAGACTGTCTCACAGTGAAAATTACTAATACCATTATTTCTTCTTTCAGGAATAAAAAAATAATGAATAATTATAGCCCAACATTTAATTAATGATTATTACTTCATCTTGAGGCAGTACCTTTTATAACAGCATTAGGTGAGCCCATGTTCCAGGATTGCAGGAAGTTGAAACTCTTCCTTCTGTTCATTGTTTTTCATCTTTACTTTCTTTTGGTATCTTCCCCAACAACTTCAATAGAAGTTGTTTCTATAACAAGCCTATAAATTGTACCAGCAAAACCAAATCTAAATACTTGTTTTCCTGTGTCTTTAAACATTTGCTCCCGTGAATCACTTATATACACCTTTTGTGTGCATTGGGGCTGTAGCTTTAATAAATTGGCATATGATTGATTTTTTTTCTTCTGAATGTTTTACTGTTATTCATGTGCAGAGTTTTCATGTGCAGAGTTTTCATATGAACCTAGACCAAAGAAATATACCCAAAGATGCCTGGACTTTCTTCTGAAGTTGAAATCTTAAAATGCAGCAAGCTCCAAACAGTCAAGATCAAATGAATTTAATGTATTTAAAATGCCACTGTTTGCAATGATGTAGAAGAAAGCCAGGACCACTTTCATCTGAGGTCTAAAAGTTTGGGCTATTCCGATAGCTGATCTTCGTCTTTTCATATTTTTATAAAAGCCTTTTGCAAGGTTGGTTCTTTGAGTTTACTGTTAATAAACTTGTATCTCCAACACCACCTTTGGGCTTCCAGTTTGTTTGGACTTTGTGCTTTCGTACTTGATATGATAAGCACAGTGGGAGTGCAGGACATTTGCACATCATAAGACAGCTAAGCTTTGAATGCTTGAACTGACAAAAGCTTACGCTTATACAACGAGAATGGGGACAGTCCAACATAGAAAAATGGTCCAGCTGAAAAACTGGCTCAAAGGGAGAACACAGAGGTGGTAGTGGAAAACATGCCAGCCTGAGCTATTCCCTTATAGATTTGTTATGTTTACACTTTGCACTCATGTAGAGTGCACATCTTAAATGTAAAATGCAATTGTCGTACCCACGTGCATGCATCCCCTCTGTCAAAGAGACATATTCAGCAAATATTTAGGAATGACTGAGGTTTCATGTTGATTGTATACCACACAGGCTAACTTAGTGTTATCAGCAATGTTTCAGATATTTCTTTCCCAGCCCAGCCTGAAAATCCCAGGTATTCCCTGGTGGTTTCCCAAGTACAAACCAGGCTTGATATTACTTAGCGTCCAAAATTAGAGGGAAATTGTGTGTTCAGAGTAGTATAATGGTCTACGAGTATCCCTCCAAATGTTGCTGAACTGCAACATCCAGCATTCTTCACCACTGACTATGATGTCAAGGGCTGATGAGAGTTCTAGTCCAACATTATCCAGAGAGGCAGACATTGCAAATGGTTCTCAGAATTCTGTCTGGATCATTGCAACCCATTTTATGTCTGCCTCCGAAAAACACTCCGAAGTGTTCCAAAGAGCTGAAGCTGGATTGTTGATTACAGCCCATTGCAAGAAGAACATGACTCCCTTATTATAACAGTGCTAACAGCAGAATTCAAGATGTTCATATATAACCTATAAAATGCTTTACGATTCTGTCCAAGATATCTGATGAAATATTCACCCATACAAGACTTCCTAGGCTTTGAGATCTTAGAAGGAGGGCATTCTTTGGGCTTGGCAAAATTTGGAGGGATGTTTTGTCAGAATGGGACATTCCATGCTACTGGGAACCTTTAACTTAGGGCACTTCTATACTGTCATATAATCCAGACTATCAAGGCAGATATTCCACTTTTTTTGCTTTGAATTGGATTATGAGTTTACACTGCTATATAATCCAATTCAAAGCAGATCATCTGGATTTCATACAGCTGTGTAGAAGGGGCCTTAGATAAGCCTCTTTGATTTTCGGTAGATAAAGGAAGGTGGTATGTGTGCATGTGTGTACATATATAGGGGGGGAGGGCATTTGGGAACTGATAGTCTGTAATAGCATTTGTTGTTGTTCGTTCAGGTGGGGGGGGGGGGTTGTTCATTTCCATTGCTAAGCCAACGAGCCGGGGTAGTCCGTAGACACCTCCAAGGTCATGTAGACAGCTTTACTGCATGGAGTGCTGTTACCTTCTCGCAGAAGCAGTACTTATTGATCTACTCACATTTGCATGTCTTCAAACTGCTAGTTTGGCAGAAGCTGGGGCTAACAGTGGGAGCTCACCCTGCTCCCTGGATTCGAACCGCTAACCTTTCGGTCAGCAAGTTCAGCAGCTCAGCAGTTTAACCTGCTATGCCTCCTTTTGAGTAGTCTGCCACAAACCACAAACTGTTATAGCTAAGAGACGATCTTTCAAAACTCCAAAGGTTGAAGAAGAGAAAGCAAAAGTCATACTTGATTTCACATAAATATTTTAATAACATCTCAAATACAGATACATGTTATTGTAACAATTATCCTACCATTATGCAGGTGCTTCAAAGTACCCCGTAAGGAGGGCCTATTGCATTAGAAGAATACTGCGGCACAAGCTCAACACACACACACACACACACTCCCACAAACATACACACACACACACACACAAACACACATACACTGGCCCTTCTCTTTTGATAAAGACATCAGCACTACCTTACCACAAAGCTTTCAACAGAGGACAGAGTTGGCAGGATGAAGGGAACAGACAACAGTCCCCACTGGCCCTAATCCAATTGTTAGTTCCAATTAGAATAGACTTGTTGAATCAATGCAATTTACAGAAATGCCTGCTTACCAAATTCTTGTTGATTCAACAGGTCTATTGTATTTGAGACAAACAGCTGGGCTTAGGATATTCCCTGCCCTAAAAAGGCATTTTCTACTTATATCAGTCTCACACCTTCCAGAGCCATTGAACTACAACTTCCAGAATCCACAGCTATTTGGCCATGCTGGCTGGGAGATGATGGGGGTTGCAGTTCAACAGACGTAGGGCCCAAAATTGTTCCGTTGTTTCTTTTGCAGAAATAGCCGATGAATGAATGTGCATGCTCATCTCACATATGCAGCAAGTTAATCACTGTGCTTTCAAGTGCCTGAGAATTGCAAGGATTTCAGTTAATAGCACTTCATGGAGCATATTGTTGCCTTTGGGGAATACATTACATCTTCCAGTTGCACCTTTTTGTTTCTTTTTTGCTTCAGTGATGAGAATGCTTAAGAAGCAATGAAATCATTGTGGAAAAAGAAGCAGCAGAAGAGGAAATCCTTGTCACATTTAACTCTGCCAAACCTAGAGGGGCCTGAGAATTTGGTCTACTACTATATGCAACTGTGAAATGCCATTCTCAGATGGTGTCAATAGCCAAATTGTCTATTTCTGAAAAAAGAGAAAAAGACATCCAAAGCTTTTTGAATTGGGGGTATGGGGACCATGGACAAAACTTCACAGATCTAAGTTGCCTTATAGCAGCTCAGAAAAGAGCCTGCTGCTCCCATTTCCTTCATTTGATACTCAGCAGACTCTATGGCAGGCTTTGGTGGGAAACCTGTGACCTTCGGAATATTCAGTTGATAGTTTCCGAGTCAGTGGGATGGCAAATCTATCTAGTCGCGTCCTTGAAGGTATTATCCAAAGTGCTGAACCTATTTGGGGAGTGGACATCAGTACCAAAGACAACTCTTTGAAATCAGGACTTATTTATTGCCTCCTGACATGGAAGTCACCAGTTAATAATAGTAATAATAATAACTTTATTTATTTATTTATTTATTTATTTATTATTGTGGAACTGGTGCCACAAATACCATTTGCCTGTGACAAAGAACTGGTGGGATCACAAGCCTGAAAAAGTTACAGAAAATGAACACGTCAAACTACTCTGGGGCTTCCGAATTCAGACTGACCGAGTTTTGGACCACAATACTCCTGACCTCACAATCGTGTTAAAAAACAGAGTGTGGATCGTTGATGTTGCAATCCCAGGCAATAGCAGGATTGAAGAGATACAACTGGAAAAGTTGACACGATATGAGGATTTAAAGATCGAACTGCAAAAACTCTGGCACAAACCAGTAAGGGTGGTCCCAGTGGTGATTGGCACACTGGGTGTGGTGCCTAAAGACCTTGGCCTGCACTTAAACACAATTGGTGCTGACAAGATTACCATCTGCCAGCTGCAAAAGGCCACCTTACTGGGATCTGCATGGATTATTCGCCGATACATCACACAGTCCTAGACACTTGGGAAGTGTCCGACGTGTGATCCAATACAACAGCCAGCAGTGATCTTGTCTGCTGTGGACTCATCTTCTTATGTTTCTAATAATGATGATGATGATGTCATCAGTTGTCATTGGTGGCCCTCCAAATATTAATGTGCTCAAACTCCTGTTAGCTGCAGCCAACATCACTAATGCAAGTGATAATGAAAAATATTGTTCCCACTTCCCCTTCTCTATGTAATGCCGCCTGACTTATTATTTTGCAGCACAGGGCTGTCAGAAAAAGGTTAATTAGGGTCCACTGTGAACTGTAGATTCAACAGACTCCTTGTTGATCAAAAGGGATGTTAAATAGGACTGTTAGAGCAAAGTGAGCTGCTCATGTTTGCATGAAAGCCCTTAGGAAAGGATTTCTTAAAAGGTTTCATTATAATTCCATTTTCCTACAGTGATTATTACAGATATATCTCAAAAGGCTGGAAGATCTACAGGAGTAAGAAGAGTGAAACCAGCCAAGACGTTCCATTTAATGGAGTTATGTGATGCATATATTCACGCAACCAGCTGTATGCCTTACAGACCTCCACACAATTATTGCACAAGCCTAGAGCAGATCTCACATCTGACTGACAAACTGCGTGTATTGAAAAACCCATCAAGTGACAATACACCCATAGCACTGATATACCGATGCATGTGTTGCATAGATCACACCACTAACTCATCTGGGAGACAACTGAGTGTCTTGTATCTGTCAGACAGATCCAGTCTCATGTGATTTAAAGCCTTGCTCTTTCACAAAACAAATAGGTCAAACAAGCACTCTTCAGCAAGGAGGCGGGGAAAACTGAGTTGAGATCATGAGGGATGGGTTCGAGTGCCCATTTCAGTTTCAAGAAGAGACTGGAAGAAGTGAGGCTGGATCTGTTTTTCTTAGTTGTCTTAGGAGCTCAAAAGAGAAAAGCCAAGATATAGACAAGCATACACATAGATTTATATTCATTTATTCACTCTCGTTCTCTCTCATGCGCACACACACATCAATAAGCAAACCACTTCATATCTCTCAGCGTGAAACCCTGCTTATATCAGACTGCACTTCCCCCATCTTAATAAGCAATACACTTCCCCAGTGGTTTTTGGCTGGGTTCCAAACAGCATAAAATGTGTTCACTTCACACAAAAATCTTCACTCATCGTGTATTACTTTGGGCCCTAACAGTAAAGAACAGTTCAAGGATCTCCCACTGGAGCAGACCTTTGAGGAGGCACAAGGGCAATCCTAGGACTCTCTGTCAGCCGGATCACGCTGGCCCTAGACCAGACGTCCCTTTCCCACAATTTAACTCTTGCTGCTTGAATGTCCCACCTTATCCCTCAGTGTCCACTCTTGGTCATCACGATATTCATGGAGAGGGGGCAGTTCAAAGAAGGAACAGAACATAACGTGTTGCTTATGTCATCTTATTGATTTTCACAGTGATCACAGTCAACATAAGGGATTTTAACCTACCAATTTCCCAAGTGTGAGATTTTATTTTTTGCCCTTCTCCTTCTGTCCACACAACATATGACAGCAACAAACACCACCCACAAGGGGGTCCAAGACCAGCATCATTTTTCCCTTACACGACTTATGATGCTTGCCATGCATTTCCTTTTTCATTATAGCTTTCTTTTGCCTCCTCTGTTGTGGAAACGGAAAGACAATGAAATGAACTCTGAAATCTGAATGAATTAATACATAAATAGATAACATTGGGGTTCAGAAATAGGCAGAGCCATGATCACACTACAAAGGGTGAACTGAAGTGAAGCTGACTGCCACTGCAGGTCCCTGAGCATGTAAGCCCTTAGTGGGGAGTGGGGAAGCATGCATCTTCTGTGAAGAAGAAACTGAATGTTGCTATTAAACTCTTAAGGTTCAGGAACATTCTAGTTTAGAGTTTGTGGAAGGTTGCTGAGTTCAGCACATACCACTGCGCATTTGCAAAACTATACTTCTTTATCCCATATTCCCATTCCCCCATCCCAATATCCTTAAATGAAACAAAACACAGTTTCCAGTCTTCTAATCATTTGAGCACCACCTTTTCTGAAAAAAGGAGACTGCGATCTCAACTTCCTCAATAAATAAATAAATAAATACATAAATAAATTTCCACAACAAATTGGAAAGCAACATTAAATGTGCAATTTTAAAGTGATGGAACCTAGTTCACAATGAAAACTTTCTTTAAATACATCTGGCTTTAAATAGTAACCAAATATTGGATTTTTTTTAAAGCCTGGAAAATTAGACAACCCACCCATGTACCCTTATCAACTTAGAAATATAACATTACCCTGACTTTTTGTTTTGTTTTACTTGGCTTGGCTTGTTCTTATCTACTTTAAAATGGTCAAAACAAAACAAATAAATAAAAATAAAATGTTTTGAATGTGGATGACTAATAGTCAACAAGTCAAGGTCAGATTTTTAACCTGTTCCATATAAAGAACCAGTTTCTGATTGTTACATGTATATGAGAGCATGCATGTGTACACAGTATTCTTCCAAAATGATGGCCCTTCAACCGAGACTCCCTGTCTTTGGCTGAAGAAGAATCTGATTATTGGCCTTGAAATCTATGCTAGTATTTCTGCTCCTACTGTAAGACTCTCCTGCTTGCAGTATCAATGAATGCTCAGAGGAGGTGATGGTTTGGATGAATAAATCACTTCCAACACACATACAAGCCATACTGATCACCATCAACAGCACCATCTCCCACAATTATCACTACTCTAAGAGTAACTAGCAGAACACCTGTGTTGGCAGAATCAATGAGAAGGATCATGTTCAGCTTCTATGTACATGAAGAACATGAAATGGAACAACTAGGTGACCCAGCAGATGTTCTAGGATGATATTTTATGTTTGCCATAACATGGCAAACGATTGTTCAGGCTTCCAGCTCCAAGACGTTACACCCAAATAATTGGCAGTAGAAGCCAAAAATATACTGCATAGATTGGCTTAGGTCTGCCTGCAGAACTCTGGAGTTAGGGTTCTCTCACAACAACCCAAGGGAGAAAAGCCTTAGAAAGTGATGCTCTAGCTTCCAACCCACGTCCGCCACAATATATATATATATATTCTGACCATTTTATCTACAATTACCCTTACATCTTCTATTGCACACTGTTTGGTATCACCGTTACCAATAAAACGTAGAGCACAGACATGTGGGGCACTTGGATGGCAACAGAAGTACCAACAGTCTTCACGGTCCTGAAATATATTGGTTCTCAGCTATTTCTCCCAGCTAGAATCGAAGGTCACTATCCATGTGAAGTTGCTATTTGGTTGGTATCCTCCTCTCATGTCTCAGGTTGAGAAAGAAATGTTCATGCGTTGATGGCGTTTGCAACATCTGTGAACACAAGGCGACTAGGTCTCTGGAGCACTCCTGGGTTTGTCTATAACAAAAGTAGAGGGATATGAAAAGAAAACAAATAAATAATAAAATTCAGAAGGAACACATGGTTTGTACCCTATTAGTTACTCCTAACGAGAATACACTCAATCAATCCATTTCTGAATACCAAGTCAACAAATAGAGAAATCATGTTGATTTGAACTTATGTACTTGATTGGTTGGTTGGATGGATGATTGGTTTATTTATTTATTTAATGCCCCACCTTTTTCCCAATATGGAACCCAAAGAAGTTTACAGCACAGATTACACCCAAACTACTGTTCAAATCCTAACAATAAAATGGTTAAAGGACAATTAAATGCTTATATGGAAAGGAGAGAAGGGTCTGGCCAGGTTAGCTTCTCCTGAAAGAAAATTTCACAGAATGGAAGCAGTCACCAATTAGGCTCTTCTATGGGTCAATACCAGACAGGTCTTTGACAACAGGAAAGTCCTTTCCCAAGGAACTTAAAATGTAATCATGCTCACATAAGGTCTTTCAGATAGTCTAGACCTTTCAATAGGTCAACTCTGGTATCATCATCTTTATCATCATCATCTTTATTTGTATCCCAACCCACCTCTCCAGAAGGACTCGGGGTGGCTTACAAAATTTAGGCATCTCTACTTTGTGTACTTTGCTTTCATATACGTTCCCAGAACCTGCAGGATGTCACATCACTATTCAGCACCACAGTTTGAATTGTTCATAGGATAATCTTAGAACAGTCATTAAGTGGGCCATGTTCTTAAAAGTTGTGTGCATCATCATGCAAGTGCTCTTAAAATTCAGCTTACATCTAATATTCCTGTTGGAGGACCTATGGGGCAAGAAGAGGTCAAAATAACTTTTGGGAGAGAAGATGGACAAATTCGGAGAAAAGATTAATCTAAAAACAGAGAGAGAGGATTTGCCTTTGGAACAAAGAGGTTATGGAAAAGGTATGGAAAGTATGTTGGAAGCTAGACACAAGACCTTGGATGCAGAACTAGGAAAACCCATGGCTTGCCCTGTTAAAAAACAACAGAGCAATACTCCTTTGGCCATCGTCTACCGATACTTGCTCTACAAAGAGTTATGTCCCAGACTCTTGGCTTCTTCTTGTATAAAGTTCCTCTGTTGTAGAAAAAAATGGGTATCTTTAATACATGAAACACATTGAGGCTTAGCCCTGTTGTCCATGCAGGAAAAGACAAGAAAATCCAAAATTCACCAAAAAAAAGTTATATTGAACCAAACAAAAAGTATAAAATACATCATGCAAGCCTTTGAAGTTTCACTGGCTTCTTCAGAGAGCAAAAATTACACCAACACAGCACCTAAATATTTTTTTTTCCAGATGTAACAATATAGAGGCTTCTTCATAATTCAATATTCTCTGTCTAAGAAAGGAGTTGGTAACCTCGTACAGGGCAGAGATGGTCTGGATTTCTAGGGAAGTTACTTTGCAGCTGGTAATGGAGATGATTTTTTTAAAATGCTCTAAAGAGAACTGATTTAGCTCCTGATCTTTGGTGACATCCTACATTGTGGTCAAATCCCATCAGCATCATGGCAAAAAATGTGGTCTGGGAGGAAAAAAACCCACATCTTTTAAAAGTCAATTCACATACTCAGAGTCATTCTCAAGCTGTCAACTCTGCCAAACTCAGGTGCTCTATGGAGAAAATAAATCCATGCTACTTGTATTTTTCTATGTTTTTTAAGTATTATACAAAAAGCTGATATTTTCTGGAGATCTGATTTCATAGATCTGATGTACAAGCTCTAAATTTCCTTATCAATATGGAAATGAATGTTTTTGGTCAGTGTGGGTCTGTCTTAGCACACAAGCCATGATTTTCTTCCCAAAACAACTACAACTTCTCTACTATATGAGGAAAGGTTATATCACAAAAAGGAGTCTACTCTAAACAGGTCACACCACTGCCACAGAAACATACCGGCTCTTCTTGTCCATGCTGGCTGGGCTTTCAAAGAAAAATCAATGGGGAAAAGAAAGACCTCTGTGAAATCAACTAAACGATTCCTTATCCCTCCGCCCATCCCACCCCAACACTTTCTAGAACTAAGGCTTAGATCAAGAATTTCTTCAGTGAAGAAGCTTAGTTGGGAAGTAATACAGGTGGGAAGAGTTCACCCCAAGCCTCTGCAAAGTGGTTCTGCCTCATCAGTTCTGAAAAATACTGGTTTTGGCTAACTGACAGTTGCATCCAGAGATACATAAAATCTTGATTTCATTATAACACTATTATTTGTTTGTTTGTTTGTTTGTTTGTTTATTTACTTCATTTATATCCTGCCCTTCTCAACCCCGAAGGGGACTCAGAGCAGCCTTACACATTAGGCAGCAATTTGATGCCAAAAATAAACATATAATAAAATAAATATTTTCATTAAAACCAAAAAATTAAAACAACACAATTTAAAACCAATTATTAAAATCCTGCCACCCAAAATCATAATCTGAAGTTGTTTCATTTGTCAGTTCCTATTCCTTATTCTCTGTTCTGTAATATTTTAATATATTTATTTATTTACTATATTTATATACCGCTTTTCTCCCCCTAAGGGAACTCAAAGCAGTTTCCAACATAATAAAGGCAAAAATCAATGCCGTACATGTGTAAAAACCAAAACATAATAGCTAGACAATAACTATAAATTGAAAATGTAACCATATTAAAACATAAAATAACATTTGGATATAACATAAAAATTAGGCATCGGTAATACAATAACATTTAAATTAAAACCCACCCACCTGTAAGTAAAATGATTTTAAAAAGTTATTAAAATCACACCATCCAAAATCAAGTCTGTAGTCATTCCATTGGTCCCTTCATATTCCTTATTCTCTTATTGTAGTATAATTACTACTGTTTTGTAATATTTTAATACAATTCTTTCTTCGTGCACTATGGCAGGGAGAAAAAACCCACTGTTCAGTGGTAAATACCACACTGTGGACATCTGATCTTATTGGAAATGAATTCCCACCAGCCCTGGTTAGCATGACCAATTATTATGCTGTGATGGGAGTTGTATCCAAGACCATTTGAAGAGCCATCATTGTTATCCCACCATTGGCTAAAAGGTGCAAGTTGCTGGGTCCTATCCCTAGAAACCCTACTTTAATCTGGTATAGTATGGAGGAATTAGTGATATTTCACATAGGAAGCCTTCCAAAACCACCTCAGGTTTCATTGGAACATAACTCTAAGAAGTGAGATAGGAATCTTACAGGACATGTATCCTGAGGACTACAGGCATTACTATCACTCTTTCCCATCCGTTTCTATTATCATGGCATAACATTTTAATTTTTTAAAGATCCAGTTTTCAATATGTTAACATTCAATTAGTTTGTAAGAATTCAATGATGGGAACCCATGTGTAGTTACTGGAAGTAAATCCAACTTAACTTCAAATTAAGTTATATACTTCAAATTAAACTTTGAACAAATTAAACTTGGAACATATCATGGGGTAACATGATTTACTGGAAAATATTATAATACTGAGGAAAGGGGAAAGCAGGAAGAAAACAAGGAGGCCACATTGTAGATGGATTGATTCAATGGAGGAACTCGCAGCCTTGAGATTCTAAGATCTGAGTGAGGCAGCTGATGGGAGATCCTGGAACTCTCATTTATAGGGTCAGCATGGGTCAAAGGTCACTTAACAGGAAACAACAACAGACTGAGACAATGTTGCTTTCCTCTAAGAGACAGGGATTTGCCTTAGGCCACTTAGCAAATTTCCATAGTTAAATAGGGATCCTTTTAAAGGATTTCATTCTTCTAAAAATGTCCATGATGGAGATATTAGGTAGGGAGTGAATTTGATGGAGTGACAGGTCCATCTTCTAATCATAAGGTATGCTTTCCAATGGGATTGCCAGTCAGGAGTGGATTAAGAATTATCTGTCTTTTAAAACCGTGGTATTTTCTGTTGATTGTCTAAAACTCTTTTGCATGTTGTTCTCTAATGTATTAAACAAGAAATAACAGCAGTGCCTGAAGGATCTCTGTGTCTCAGAACCTAGAACAATCAACCTTTGCTGTTCTTGTGCGCTTTCCAGTCACTTCCATCTTATGGCAGCCCTACAGTGAAACTGTCATGGGGCTTTCTTAGCAAGATTTATTCAAAGTTGGTTTCCTCTAAGATAATGTGAATTTCCTTGGCTGAGTGGGTCCCAGGGTCCTAGCTCAACACTCAAAATACTATACCAAGCTAGCTCTCAAAAGACTGCTAAAGACAATAACAATTGTATATAACACCTCATTTTTGTTTCAACAAAATTTATGTACTATATTGGATCATAAATACTCAAACCCACAGATGTTTGTTGAAAACCAGCAATAGCAAAGCAGCTGTGATTTCACTGCAAGCTTCTTGTGAGTTCATCTTGGAGCCAAAGATAAGGAATGGCCTGTGAAAATAGCAATACCTTGTTCTGAGAGGCCTGCACAGAAGCAGCATCTTTGCCATGTTCCAGCAACTCTTGCTCCAGCTCATCCTGTTCTTCAGCAGGATCAAAGTTGTACATGGGCATCAGCTGGTGTCGTAGTTTTTCCAATCTGCAAAAAGAAATATAAAGAACGTAATTTCACCCCTCTGAAGCATCATCCTAAACAGATTTTTTTCTGATTTTTTTCTCATCGTCAAGTAGCTAGAGAATCAAACCCAGGAGTGGGAAACACGTGGCCTTCCAGATGTTGTTGGATTGGAAATCCAGCAGTCCTTGTCAATATGGACAATGATGAGGAATCCTGGGAGCTACAATTAAACATTAAGAAGGGTGCTGATTTCTACCCCCACCCTAAGCTCCCATGCCTGCCAAATCCAGTTTTACATTAGAAACTAGAAATACATTTGGTCCAGCTTTTTCACTTGGTTCAGCCTTTTTTTATTGCCAAAAGAAAATCTCCAGGAAGAGAAACAAGGTGTGAAACATTGTTGCATTCAAGAGCAGAGAGTACTTACCGTTTCCTCTTCCTGATATACAAAACCTGGAAGGGGGTGGGGGGGGGGGAGGAAACAACAGAAAGGTTTGGTTCTTGGAAGCACACTTTCAGCAGAATTTTCACACACACACACACACACACACCCCGCTTTGGTTAACTGTCATAAATACTTTGAGAAGGAAACAACAACCCAAACGGTTCCTTGGAAACTTGTCATTTCCTTGTTGTACTGGGCAAGAATGTACTGGGAAAGAATCTTTTGCACAAGAAAAGGTATGGGGCAGCTCTTGAAAACTAGAGAAACCTGTAAGTATATGGACTTCCTAAGTATATAAGAAACTATCAGATGTGGTACACTTATGTGACCTCATGGGTGAACTGGCTTTCAGGTTGGATATAGTGTTGAAAAAATAATGGATATGTGTGGAACCGACCTAAGTTAGAAGTACTGCCAATTTATTATTAAAATGTTTATATCTCACCTTACAGATCAGGTAAAAAAACTAACACGCTCTTTGAGTCAAAGCAATCAGAAAGTGAGGCCTTTCAAGGAATCCATGACAGAGCAACTGGCAAAAAGTTATATACCAAGCCTCAGGCATTTTTGTATTCTGCCTGAAATATTAAAGAGGACTTCCTTAACTCAGATGTTTCCCACCCTCTCCTGCCACCTTCAGGCAGCCATTCCATGCAAAAATCATCAAAAGACACTGTCTTACCATTGCAACAGCCAGACCAATCACAGTGATTATGCCAAAAGAGAGCAGCATGGTCCCCATGCCAGGACTATTGCTGGCAACATCGGGGATTTTGGTGCTATTAAAGCTGCTGGTTTCAGGTGTTATGGTAGCCGTTTCTGAGCCAGTTGCATCTACAGTTGTTCCTCGGTCTGGTTCAGGAGTGGCAGTACTGCCATGGTACAAAGTGTTCACAGTGGATGTGCTGAAATTCATCTTGGGCAAGTGTTTTCTGTCCTGTTTTCTATTTCACTGACGTATTGAATGACAAAAGCTTTCAGCTATGAAGGTCTCACAATTCCTTTTCAGTCACAAATCTTGATGGTTAAGCCCTTTCTGATTGTTTGCATTTTTAATGATTCTTCTGAACTGAAGTCCGGCTGACCTAGCAATAAAAGAAGAAAAAAAACACTAAAATCTGGTTTTGTCTCCCAAATTATTTTAGAGCACATGTGAACCAGCTCAATCCCTCTGGGGTTTCTGAAATGACCAATGCCCTTCCTCATGTCATATTTTGGTAGTTCCCCAACTTCTGTAAAGAGCTTTCTTCATGCTAAAAATAGAAACACTTTTCCTAAATATTAGTTAGTTTGTAGTAATAATTTGAAGTTGAAGTATATCAGTATTTATGATCCCGCACTTTTGCCTTTGGTATTGCACTCTGCTAAAATGCAGCCCTCTCCTCCAAAACAAATACATAAATACAGTACTTTTGGGCTTCAAGAAACTCCCCAGTTTTGTGCAAGAGCAGTACTTCCCAAACTCTGGTCTTCCAAGTGTTTGAGACTTCCACTCCCAGATTCCCTGATCACTGGGCAAAGCAGCTGAGGCTTGTGGGAAGCTGAGGCTTCTGTGGCCCTCTAAGTGTTCAGGCCTCCAATTCCCAGAAGCCCTAGACAGCTCGTCGGGTCATCAGGAATTCTGAGAGCTGAAGTCCAAAACACCTGGAGGACCACATGTTGCGAATGCCTGCTCTAGAGCAACCCTATAAATAAGCTGCTATTCCTATGCTCACATTGTTATTCCTATGCTCACATTGTAGGTGTAAATGGCAGATTTCTTTAAGTCAGAACACTTAATTGATGGCTGAGATGTAAATCAGAAACCATTCCGTTCATAAACATAATGCAACATGAACAATATGACAAGTCTACAAGAGGCATTAGTCTCACTGAATTCAGGTTTTATATCCTATCTTCATGGGCCAAAATGATTTTAGGATATAATTTTATAGACTGAAAAACAGAGATCATTAGAGTAAAAGACATGTGCTTCACAGCATGAAAAGTTGCATAATTTGTAGCCCCCCCCCCTTTTTAAAAAAGGATTTAGTGCAATACTCACCTTCCTTAGAGTCACTATGGTAGGATTCATATCAATATTACAAAGCAGCTCTACAGATGTTGAACTGCAATTCTTAGCATTCCTCACCTTTGATTATGCTTGGCTAGGGATACTGATCTTTGCAGTCCAAAAACATCTGGAAAGTTGTTTAATTCTTATCTTGTTAAATAGTCATGATATTATATCAACCAATACCAAACAACAAGCGAGCCAGTGTGGTATAGTGGTTTAAGTGTTGGACTAAGATTCTAGAAGAGCAGGATTTAAATATCTGCTCAACTATGAAAACCCGGTGAGCAAGACATAGTTTCTGAGCCGAACAGGAAGTCAATAGCAAACCTTCTCATAATAATTCTTGCCAAGAAAACCCTACAAGAGGGTTGCCATTAAGAACTGACTTAAAAGTACCTGACAACAACGTAGGTTATGCAGCCAGAATTTTGGTTTCAAACCTCCTTTGAATAAATATTGCAAGAAAATCTAAAATAGGATCATTATATGTCAGAGTCAATTTAAAGGCACAGTTTGAAGGGACATCACTACAACCACAGAATCGTTTTGCAATCAGCTACATGAATAAGAGTTAAGACAGCAAAACTGATACATTTCTGGCTCATTCTTATTTAATATTGTCTCGCCACCATTGTCCACTCATGCGAGACAGGAGAGTCAGAAAAATGGTCACCCAACAAGCTTCATGGATGAATGGAGGTTAAAACCTTGTGAGATCTTATGCTTTATGAACAAGAGGAAAAGCAACATTAAGAATTCCTGATATGACAGCTTCCCTCCATCAAGTTATGGAACTATTTCTTTTCTTGAATATTGCTGAATACAAATCTGACTAACTTTCAGGAGCTGGTCTTTGGGCTTGTTCTGAGGGCTCAGAGTTAAGAAGTTGCAAGCTTTAATTCTGTTTGGTGATAAGAGTTGTTCTTTTGTCACCTAATTATAGCGAGATAGACCATAAAGATAGATACAGGCAAGTGATGTAATAATATAGTTATCCTATCATACTATTAGAGCATCCCTAAATTCACCAAAGGACCTGCTGGAGCAACACATGACCAATCATGTGGGACGAGCCTCAAACATAAGAACTCATACTAAACTAGATCATAAAAAATAAACAATCCTCAAGCAAGTGACAGAAATGGTAGATACCATTTCAAACAACAATAATAGCAACAGCCTGTGTAGACAAACAGTGAACCAAAGTAAATAACCATAAAAATGCAGAGAAAGCTCCTTCTCAACTTCTCACCATGAAGGCTTGTGAACATGGCAAGATCCAAGCGAAATCACTTTTGTGTAGATCTCAATATCCTGGCTACTTATTTACTCACTTATCCTGGCGGCTCCGTATAGGTTCAGCCTCAGCTGTTTATACCCTTAAGGGTCATAACCAACACTCTGAATTGTGCTTCAGGGGTAGGGGGAAAGTTCACCAGGGAGTTGTATGTTCGCCAAAACTGTCCCCAGTCAACATTCTGGAAGCAGCATTTTGGACCCATTGAAGTGTTCAAACAATTTCCAAAGGTCGCCTCATATAGAGTACATTACAGTAGTACAATCAATATAAGTGCCACTGTGGCCAAATCTAACATTTCAAGGAATGGGCATCGCTGACATTGTGCTGGCACAGCTGTGCCAGAAGCTAATTTTTCTTTTTCTATGCATGGTTAGTTTGCAAGTGTTTCTGTTAGCCAGGCATTTTGGAGTTAAACAGCTTTCCCCAGGCTGCAGTCATAGGCTAGCAGCCTGCCTATCATTGTTGGGGCTTTTGGAACCGCCCTTTTCCCCAGGTTCAGGAGGGAAAAGGGGACAGTTTGTTCAGTCTTACAGTTTGAAGCCCAACTACAGGACAGGTGAGTTTTTCCCTCCTGTAGAAAAGCTTCGTTTCTTACAAGCTTGGCTGGGGAAGACAATTCTCACAGCTTTACTAAGAAATACAGCACAGCCCTTGTTGGGGTTAAAGAAACAGATCCACAGCATTCGTGGGAAAAATCCAAAGGACTTCAGCTGGAAAATCTTCAGAGTTTTAGCCAGTAAGGTCTACTCGGGTACCCATAAAGCAAATTGGAACCGGGAGTAGGGCCCCACACCTGCTAAGCCTAAAAGACAGATTGCCCAGGGAGGGTTTAAAAGGATGTCCCTCATAGAAGAGAGAAACAGTTCATGGAGCAAGTTGTCTGTCCATTGTGGACAATTTAAGAAATATTTGGTTAATTTGTTGAAGATCTAAGAAGTATTTGACTGATTTGTTGCACCAATAAAGAACTTTGTTAAACTTTCCAAGCTTCTAAAGACTTTGTATAGGGAAATTCATAGGGCCTCTCAGCCGAGGCACCCCGGTGTCCCGCTGGGCACATAAAGATCACGTCCTGTTAATAGACAATTGCTACAGGCCCAGTGTGTGACAGCACAGACATGCCAATTTTAACTGTAAAAAGGTGCTCACGGCTACTGCTAAAATTTGAGTATCCAGACTGAGTTGAATCCAGAACACCTAAGCTGCGAACCTGCATCCTCAAGGAAGTGCAACCTCCTCTAACACAGGATGAATCCCTATTCCCTAATCTGTTTCTTGACTGGCAAGGAGAAGACCCAAGCTGGGCTACAGTGCTTAACAGCAGAATCCCATACATGTCTGCTCAAAACAGGCTTCATCCAGGTAAAGATATTTAAAACTGCCTCTAATCTGACATTCTATTTAATGTATTGTTTGGGAGACACAGGCAATCAAGAATCCCATGCAAGCAAGAGAATGGACTGGTGAAGGAAGGATAAATCTCTCTTTCCCCTTCCCTCCATTTATAGCATTAAACATCCAGGTTAACTGTCATGAATCACTGGGATCTACAGTCTGGGAAGGTACTTTGAATCCTCTGCTAGAGAGCTCTAGTGCAACTTTCTGAACTACAGAACTAGAATTCTAACTACCTCACTGGACTACAAACCTCAGGACTTCATGAGATGGTTGCTATAAGTGGACAGCATAGATATCCTTATAGCTGCAGAAGAAAGAAGTCTTCATTTTTTGCAATGAGCATGGAAAGTGATATTTGGGGGGAGGGATGCTCTAACCCTTGCCTTTCACTTTGCTTGGAAACATTTTAATGGTTAACTTGCTTATTTATTTATTGACTATATTTATATATCTCCTTTCTCACACACACACACACACACACCCCCGAGGGGGGGGGGCTCAAGGCAGTTTACAACATATTAATGGCAAAAAATTCAATGCCAACATACAAGTAAGGTAGAGGTAAAGGTCTTCCCCTGACATTAAATCCAGTTGTGTCCAACTCTGGGCGTTGGTGCTCATCTCCATTTCTAAGCCGAAGAGCCAGCGTTGTCTGTAGACACCTCCAAGGTCATGTGGCCAGCATGACTGAATGGAGCACCGTTACCTTCCTGCCGGAGTGGTACCTATTGATCTACTCACATTTGCATGTTTTCAAACTGCTAGGTTGGCAGAAAACATACATGTAGAAAGAAAAAAATCCTAATAACTAAACACTAACATGTAACTATAAATTGATATAATTAAAACCATTAAACATATGACATAAACAACACTTAAACATTAAGACAAGCATTAAAAACAGCCTAGTATAAATATTAAAATCACATGATCCAAAAATTGTACACCATAGCCATTCTGACTGTGATTGCACATATTTCCTAATTTGCACTGTGTTATTTTACTGGACAAAGGCTTGGTCCCACAACCACATTTTTGTTTTCTTTCTAAAGGCCAGGAGGGAGAGCACTAATCTAATCTCACTGGGGAGAGAGTTCCAGAGCTGAGGAGCCGCCACTGAGAAGGCCCTGTCTCTCGTTCCCACCAACCGCACTTGCAACAGAGGCAGGACCGAGAGCAGGGTTAGAAGCAATAAACCCACCAAGAGGCTACTAGTAGTCTGCATTTATACACTGACAGCAAAGCATACCGCTTCACTTCCTTTGCACACAGCCTAGAAATTGAAATTATGAAATTGTGCTACAAGTAAGTTTTCTGCATGTTAAGAAGGGCTTTTTCTGCATTATGAAAATAAGACAGAGATCGAGAGGGTGAGGGAGGAGCAGAATGTGCTCCTAGCTTTACAAATGTTTTCCTCTAAAGATGCTCAGTCATTGGAAAATTCCATATCTGAGGTCAGGAAGACACATTTTCTTTGTGATTAGCTTGCCATCAACTGAGCCAAGCTGAATGCAGGCTATTTAAGAACATCAGATATCTATAGTGCACTAAAAAAAGAGAGGAAAGAATGGATAAGCCCAGTTTCCAAATAACTTCTACACACATTTACCTACTGAAAAACCACAATAAAATAGATGTGGGAAACTTGTGATTTTCCAGATGCTGCTGGATTGTAATTTCCAGCATCCCTTCCTATATTTCTGAGGGCGGATGGGAGATGCAACATCATTTTTAGAGACAAACAGTTACCCACTCCTGTAATGGAATAACTAAGAGATGTGAGATGTCTTTTCTGGCTGGGGTCCCTATTCTCTTATTGCACACTGTGATCCTAAAAGCAAGGCATGAAAGCACTATCCATCTCATTTATTTATTCAAATATTTATATCCCAACCTCTACCTAAAGGCCTGTGCACAATTACATCAGTTAAAAAGAATATGAAGACTACAATGATTTTAAAAGGCTAAACATTTATCCTTCTGTTCAGCTAGTTAAAAAACGGTGGATTAAAACCACATGCATAAAATAGTGTAAAATGATTAAAAACCGTGCACATGTGTGGATTTGTGTATCTTCTGTTATTAATCCCCCAGCATCTGCTCCTCTGAGGTATGCTGCAGATCTGTCCTCACTGTCATAATCAAGCCATTAAAAAGTGGTTGCTCTCACTACTATGTCAATATTCTATAACCTGGAAACTATGTATTCCATTCATATGTGTTGTGTGAATGAACAATTCCTGCTTCTGCTAACGGTTGACCAAAATAAAATATTGTTGTTGTTGGTATTGCTAACCAATGACAGTAAAGCAACACTAGTTCTTCTATTTGAAAAGAATGAGTAACGCTTTCCTCCTAATCATTCCTGCTCTATTCATAGTGTGATGACCTGTTTCCCCACTAGTGTTGACTTTTCTCCTAATATTAAAAGTTACCAATGGCTAGAAATGTCTTTGGCATCACATTACTGTTGCTGTTTCGTGCCTGCAAGTCAATTCCAACCTACAGTAATCTTATCCTGAGATTTTCATTTGGACCTCATCGCACTAGAGAATGAATCCACTTTAAATCCAGTTTCTGCCTCCTGCAGAATTCTGGGATTTGTAGTTTAGTGAGGCTGTTAAATGTGCCTCCCTAAACTACAAACTCCAGAATTCTGCAGGAAGCTGCAACCAGATTTAAAGTAGATTCATTCTCAAGTGTGATGAAGTGGTAAGATTTTTTCAGAGGAGGTTTGCTATTGCTTTCTTTCAAAGGATGGAAAAGTGTGATTTGGAAAATCACACTAAAAAGCCACTGGGTTTTTATAGATGAGTGGGAACTGTCTCAGGGTCCTAGGGTGCATCAACTCTGTAGAATTAATGCAATTTGATACCACTTTAACTTCCATAGTTCAATGGTATAGAATCCTGAGAGTTGTACTTCAATGAGGCACTGGCACTCTTTGGCAGAAAAGGTTAAAGACCTTGCAAAACTACAACTCCGAACCATGAAGCCATGACAGTTATAGTGGTGTTGAATTGCAATAATTCTACAGTGTAAATTAGAAATACCCCTAACCCAGCATTCTAATCACACGACAATCTGGGAACTTTCAACGACAAGCGCACAATATCCCTTCCCTTAGTAGTCACAGGCTCTCCAAAACCATGCATAAAGTACATCAAGTGAAACTTGTGATTCATATACTAGTATTTGGAGCAGGGATTCTCCTCAAAACCAGACTGAGAGGAGACATGATGGCCATGCATAAATATATGAGGGGAAGTCATAGAGAGGAGGGAGAAGGCTTGTTTTCTGCTGCCCTGGAAACTAGGATGCGAAACAATGGCTTCAAACTACATGAAAGGCGATTCTACCTGAACTTAGGAAGAACTTCTTAACGGTGAGAGATGTTTAGCAGTGGAACTCTCTGCCCTGGAGTGTGGTGGAGGCTCCTCTTTTTACAGAATCATAGAGTTGGAAGAGACCTTATGGGCCATCCAGTCCAAGAAGCAGGGAACTCGCATTCAAAGCACCCCCAACAGATAGCCGTCCAGCCTCTGTTTAAAAGCCTCCAAAGAAGGAGCCTCCACCACACTCCACTGCTGAACAGCTCTAACAACCAGGAAGTTATTCCTAATGTTCAGGTGGAATCTCCTTTCCTGTAATTTGAAGACATTGTTCCACGTCCTAGTCTCCAGGGCAAAAGAATGCAAGCTTGCTCCCTCCTCCCTCTTTGGAGGCTTTCAAACAGAGCCTGGATGGCCATCTGTTGGAGGTGCTTTGAATGTGATTTTCCTGCTTCTTGGCAAGGGGTTGGACTGGGTGGCACACGAGGTCTCTTCCAACTCTACGATTCTATTATTCTCTCTCTATATATATAAAACAGTTGGCTAAATTCTTTTTTCTAGGACTCTTTCACGTTACACAGTTATAGTACTATGATTCCACTTTAATCACCTAGGCAACATGCTATTGAATCCTGGGATTGATAGTTTCAGAGGGGCATTTAGAGTTCTCTTCCAGGATTCCACAGGATGCAGCCAGGGCAGCTAAAGAGGAATCATAGTATAAGCCGAGTACCCAGAATTCCCAAATCTTTTTTTTTTTTGGTTTCAAGTATTTTTTATTGTTTTATCATAGTTATTACATTTGTTATACATTTGTTTATACCAATTACATATTATTCAACACACTCTTTAACATATAGTCTTATTATTCTATTTGAACATCCCCCCCCCTTTTTTCCCACCACTGTGCTCCCCTCCCCCCGTCTCAAGCCACAGCTTTTACATATCATCCGTCCAAAATCTCATTTCTTCTTGTGACGGTAACCTTCCTTCAGAATTCCCAAATTGGAAATGGTTCACATGGGAGGCTGGGATGGCAACACTTTTGATGGCTGAGGGTTCAATGTACCCAAATTTTGTTTCATTCATAATATTATCCAAAAAGACTAACTTTAGTCTATGTGTAGAAGACGAATTGGAAACATGCCTGAAAATGATGTCTAAACACGGGTCCTATCTCCAAGTTGTCTCATTATGTAAATATATGCAAATACAGGCATTCCAAATACTGAGGAAAGGTCAACAGCATTGAAAACACCTCTGGTCTCAAGAATTTTGGATGAGGGATACTCAAGTTCGTATTATAATTGTGTGGTGTGACATCCGTAGGGATACCAAAGTGCTTGTTTATAAAGCTGTTGTCCTCCCAACTCTGCTATATGCCTGCGAAACGTGGACTATCTACAGATGTCACATGCAATTCCTGGAACAATTCCATCAGCATTGCCTCTGAAAAATCCTGCAAATCTCTTGGGAAGACAAGCGGACAAATGTCAGCGTGTTGGAAGAAGCAAAGACCACCAGCACTGAAGTGATAGTCCTTTGCCATCAACTCCGCTGGACTGGCCACGTTGTCCGAATGCCCAATCACAGTCTCCCAAAGCAGTTGCTCTACTCCGAACTCAAGAACGGAAAACAGAATGTTGGTGGCCAGGAAAAGAGATTTAAAGATGGCCTCAAAGCCAACCTAAAAAACTGTGGCATAGACACTGAGAACTGGGAAGCCCTGGCCTTGAGCGCTCCAGCTGGAGGTCAGCTGTGACCAGCAGTGCTGTACAATTTGAAGAGGCATGAATGGAGGGCGAAAGAGAGAAACGTGCCAAGAGGAAGGCACATCAAGCAAACCCCGACTGAGACCACCTTCCACCTGGAAACCAATGCCCTCACTGCGGGAGAAGATGCAGGTCAAGAATAGGGCTCCACAGCTACCTATTTACCCACCCCCAGGACACCAAGCAGGCTGTTAGGAATTGTGGGAGTTGAAGTCCAAAATACCTGCCTGGCCGAAGTTGGCCCATGCCTGTATTTCAGGTCAATTTTCCCTCCTAGCATGGAAGCAGGGTATAGTGTTTGAACTACCCCTCCAGATTGGTGGCCTCCCTGGCTCTCTCCTATCACCCTTCTCTCTTGCGTGTGCACGTGTTCGTGAGGATGCTCAGTCCTGTGAGCCAAAACCATGACATCAGCACGCAGGCAGGGAGGAGGAGGAGGAGTTCCTCCCCCTTGCACAGCTCCTAGGACAGGTTCTCCACTGCAGAACCCATATACCTGGCGATGAGGGAGGCCCTGCGTCTACACTGCGGAATGAATGCAGTTTAATTCCAATGCCAAGGGGATCCTGCGCGCGGGGCCTCTTTGGCAGGGGAGCCGGACCACTTTGCAAAAACTCCCAACTCCCAGGATTCCGTGGCAAGGAGTAAAGCGGAGTCAAACTGCATCCATTCTCCGGTGTAGACGCAGGGCCTCCCCTTTTGCCAGGCCTTCTCTCTCTCCCTGCCTCTATGTCCCTCATCCACTTCCTCCCACTTGCCCTGGAGGCCAGCCTGCTTTTGATCCCGCTCCTCCCGATGGACAAGGGGCGAAGCCTGCAAGAGGACCGCTCCCCCCCCCCTTCCTCCTCCGCCGCCTCCGTGGGAAACTCAGCGGCAGATAGGACTGGCTTCCTCGCAGGCAGGCAGGCAGGCAGGGCTCCCGGCTATGGAGGTTACCTGCGCCGGAGGAGCCTCGGAAGTGGGTGCTGATGCTGCTGCCGCCCGGCTCCGGCTGGCCATTGTGTCTCCCCGGGAAGAAGAGGATGGATGCTCCAGCAAGAGGAGGAGGAGGAGGAGGAGGAGGATCCCGGTCCCCTCCCCTCGCCGCCCTTCTGGAGGTTCGGCTTTGGGCTCCCCTTTGCCTGGGATTGGCCCGCGGAGGGCGGCGCTAAGACTCGCGATTGGGCCTACGTCCACGTCACTCAAGTAGAGGGCGGTTCGCCGCCGTCAAGCTGGCCAATGGGCTCCCTTCGAGGTTAGGATTTGCGCGGGATTTGCCGTCAGGAGGAAACCCTATGGATGGCCGGGGGGCGTCTTTCAGGCGCGTCTGCACTGGAGAAGGAATGCAGTTTGACGCTTCACCCTGGCTCAGTGCTAGGGAATCCTGGGAGTTGTGATTTGGGGAGCCACCGGTACTCTTTGGCAGAGAAGGGGAAAGGCCTTGGGTTTTTTTCCGTGTCAGGAGCAACTTGAAAAACTGCAAGTCGCTTCTGTTCTTAGAGAATTGGCAAGGACGTCTGCAAGGACGTTGCCTAGAGGACGCCTGGATGTTTTGCTGTTTTACCATCATTGTGGGAGGTTTCTGTCATGTTGCCTAGGACGTTGCCTAGGGGACGCCTGGATGTTTTGCTGTTTTACCATCATTGTGGGAGGTTTCTGTCATGTCCCCACATGGGGAGCTGGAGCTGACAGAGGGAGCTCATCCACACTCTCCCTAGGTAAGGGTTGGAGGTTACGGTTTAGGGTTAGGGTTTGCGTAAGGGTTAGAGGTTATAGTTAGGGTAAGTTTTGGATAACTTTTGGATACAGCACCAACCGAGATCCGGAGGACGGGGAGGCGGGGTTGCAGTGGTCTATAGAGATTCCATCCATCTGACCAGGAGCCCCATCCCGCAGACCACAAATTTTGAATGTGTCCACCTAAGGGTGGGTGACTGGGACAGAATAGGGATTCTGCTAGTGTACCGTCCACCTCGCTGCACTACAGTCTCCCTACCTGAGCTAGCGGGGGTCTCGACTGGCGTTGGAGTCTCAACGGCTTCTTGTGCTTGGGGACTTCAATATCCATGCCGAGGCGACCCTCACAGGAGCGGCTCAGGACTTCATGTCTGCCATGGCAACCATGGGGCTGTCCCAACAAATATCTGGCCCCACCCACTGTGCTGGACACACATTGGACTTGGTTTTCTGCCAGGGATGGGAGCAGGGTGGCGGTGTGGAGGAGTTGTCTATCTCTCCGTTGCCATGGACTGACCACTTCCTGATCAGATTTAGGCTTACTGCACCCCCTAACCTCTGCAAGGGTGGAGGACCCATTAAGATGGTCCGCCCCAGGAGGCTTATGGATCCGAACGGATTCCTGACGGCTCTTGGGGATTTTCCCGCCTCCGCGGTAGGTGACCCTGTCGAGGCCTTGGTCGCTCTCTGGAATGGGGAGATGACCAGGGCAATTGACACGATCGCTCCGGAACGTCCCCTCTCAAGTAGCCGAGCTAAACCAGCCCCTTGGTTTACTGAGGAGCTGGCAGTGATGAAGCGAAGGAAGAGGGAACTAGAGAGCGTGTGGCGTTCAGACCCAAGCGAGTCAAATCGAACACGGTTTGTGTCCTTTTTAAGGGCATACGCCGCGGCAATAAAAGCCGCAAAGAAAACTTTCTTTGCAGCTTCTATTGCGTCTGCAAAGAACCGTCCGGCGGAGTTGTTTCGGATTGTCAGAGGTCTTTTAACTCCTGCCACCTCAGGCGGGAGCCCTGACAATTCGGTCACGCGCTGTGAAGCATTTGCTCGGTTCTTTGCAGACAAAGTCGCTTTGATCCGTTCTGGGCTGGACGCCACATTAAATGCAGTCTCTGTGGATGTGACACAAGCACCTGCTTGTCCGATTTTGTTGGATTCTTTTCAGTTTGTGAAACCCGAGGATGTGGACAAGATACTTGGAGGAATGAGGCCCACCACGTCCATCCTAGACCCCTGCCCATCCTGGCTTCTGAAGGAGGCCAGAGGGGGATTGGCTGAGTGGGTAACAGTGGTGGTTAATGCCTCCCTTCGGGAAGGCAAGATTCCAGCGTGCTTAAAACAAGCAATTATAAAACCGCTGTTGAAGAAACCATCATTGGACCCCACTAAATTTGACAACTTTCGGCCTGTTTCCAATCTCCCCTTTTTGGGCAAAGTCATGGAAAGCGTGGTGGCCTCACAACTCCAGGGATTCTTGTTGGTGCTCCTGGACCCCTCAGCGGCCTTCGATACCGTCGACCACGGTATCCTTCTGGGGCGCCTTGCGGAAATGGGTCTTGGGGGCACTGCTCTGCAGTGGCTCCAGTCATTTCTGGAGGGTCGTACCCAGAAGGTGTTATTGGGGGACTCCTGTTCAACACCACAGCCTTTGACCTGTGGGGTTCCACAGGGTTCTATACTGTCCCCCATGCTGTTTAATATCTACATGAAGCCGCTGGGTGAGATCATCCGGAGTTTCGGGGTGCGGTGTCAGCTGTACGCAGATGATGTCCAACTCTGTCACTCCTTTCCACCTGCTACTAAGGAGGCTGTCGAGGTCCTGAACCGGTGCCTGGCCGCTGTAATGGTCTGGATGAGGGCGAACAAACTGAAATTAAATCCAGACAAGACAGAGGTACTCCTGGTCAGTCGCAAGGCCGAACAGGGTATAGGGTTACAGCCTGTGCTGGATGGGGTCGCACTCCCCTTGAAGGCGCAGGTTCGCAGCTTGGGTGTGACCCTGGACTCATCGCTGAGCCTGGAGCCCCAGGTTTCAGCGGTGACCAGGGGAGCATTTGCACAGCTTAGGCTCGTGCGCCAGCTGCGCCCGTATCTTGGGAAGTCTGACTTGGCCACGGTGGTACATGCTCTGGTCACATCCCGCCTTGACTACTGCAACGCTCTCTACGTGGGGCTGCCCTTGAAGACGGCCCGGAAGCTTCAGCTAGTCCAGCGCGCGGCAGCCATGTTACTAACGGGAGCGGGACGCAGGGAGCACACAACGCCCTTGTTGTCCCAGCTCCACTGGCTGCCGATCTGCTACCGGGCCCAATTTAAGGTGCTGGTGTTATCCTACAAAGCCCTAAACGGTTCCGGCCCAAAATACCTTTCGGACCGCATCTCGGCCTATGAGCCCACGAGGGCCTTGAGATCATCTGGGGAGGCCCTTCTCTCGATCCCGCCCGCCTCACAGGCACGTCTGGCGGGGACGAGAGAGAGGGCCTTCTCAGTGGTGGCCCCCCGGCTGTGGAACGCCCTCCCTGCTGACATTAGACAGGCGCCCTCCCTTATGGCTTTCCGTAAGAGCCTAAAGACCTGGCTATTCGGGAAGGCATTTAATTGAGACCTACACGAATCTGGTAATGACATCTGGAACGGACTATGGATTATGAGTTTGGCTATGTCTCTATGTTGTGATGGCGCGGATTTATTAGTGTGATTTAGATTAATGTGTAATGTGGTTATTGATATATTGTATGTTTTTGTAGACTGTTTTTACATGTTGTACACCGCCGCGAGTCGCCCCAGGGCTGAGAGCGGCGGTTAACAAATGAAGTAAATAAATAAATAAATAAATAAATAAAGTCTGCCACTGCCTCCACGTTTTCTCCCTCTATTTCCGGAAGAGCCTAAAGACCTGGCTCTTCGAGAGGGCATTTAACTAGTGCCAGACTAATTGATAATGACAATCGGAACGGAATATGGATTATGAGACTGGTAGGCTCCTATGTTGTGACGGTGCGGATTAGTTAGTATAATTTAGATTAATGTGTAATTATGGCTTGTTGATGTACTGTGTGTTTTTTGTAAACTGTTTTTATATGTTGTACACCGCCGCGAGTCGCCCTAGGGCTGAGAGCGGCGGTCAACAAATGCATCAAATAAATAAATAATAAATAAATAAAATATATTTCTATCAATGATACATATTAAAATGTATTTCTGACACTTCTACCCCGCCCTTCTCACCCTGGGGGGGGACTCAGAGCGGCGTACAAAGGCACAATTCGATGCCAGCATCAATGCAACAATAAAATACAATACAACAATAAAAACAGTATCAATCAGTCTGGTTGCCATGATTTTTTAAATGTTTACCTGCAACCCAGCTTTTGCACTTCTTTCACCTTGATTAGAAGTCTTCTCAGCTCCTCCTTGCTTTCGGCCATCAAAGTGGTGTCATCTGCATATCTAAGGTTGTCAATGTTTCTTCCAGCAATTTTCACCCCAGCCTTGCATTCATCAAGCCCCGCACATCGCATGACGTGTTCTGCATACAAGTGAATAGGTTGGGGGAGAGTATGCAGCCTTGCCGTACGCCTTTCCCAATCTTGAACCAGTCTGTTGTTCCATGGTCAGTTTTGACTGTTGCTACTTGGTCCTTGTACAGATTCCTCAGGAGAGAGACAAGGTGGCTTGGTATGCCCATCCCATCAAGAACTTGCCACAATTTATTATGATCCACACAGTCAAAGGCTTTAGAATAGTCAATGAAACAGAAGTAGATGTTTTTCTGAAACTCCCTGCCTTTCTCCATTATCCAGCGGATATTGGCAATTTGGTCTCTCGTTCCTCTGCCTTTTCTAAACCCAGCTTGAACATCTGGCAACTCTCTCTCCATGTCTTGCTGGAGTCTTCCTTGCAGGATCTTGAGCATTACCTTACTGGCATGAGAAATAAGGGCCACTGTACGGAAGTTTGAGCAGTCTTTCGCATTTCCCTTTTTTGGTATGGGGATATAAGTTGATTTTTTCCAGCCTGATGCCATACAGCCTAAAAACCCTACAACAACCCATATAGCATGTGCTGCAATGCACCGGAACAGCCACGAGGGGCCGCCCTCCACTCGCTCTCTCGCTTTCCTCTCTTCAAAGGGACCCGTCCCTTTGACGAGGTGGGACTTTAGCCCTCTAGGAACTCTATTACCACAACGTCATTTCCGGTGCCGCAGGAATAGCGCTGCACAAGCCGGAAGTGTGAGGCGTGTTTTCTTCCCGACGCGTTTGAGAGGTCGGTAGGAACCGAACGGCATTGGCCTCATGTGCCTCAGGATCACAGTTAGCAGCTCGGCACCCCGATAACATTTCCGTTCCTCCTGTCCTGCTCGGTTCTGTTGAGGGGACAATGCGATCAGAAGCCTGGAAGGCTGGGTTTCATTATTATAAGTCAGTGATTCCATCTCTCTGGACGTCAACTTCCAGAATCCCTCATCATTGGTCGAGAGGCAGCTGAGGCTTCTGGGAGGTGCAGTCCAAAACACACGGAGGACTGGAATATGGGCTGGAATCACTGTTTCAGGTCTTGTTGAAATACAAGTGGGAAAAAGCCATGATTCCAACCAAAATACAGCTAACTAAGGGTCTATCTCCAGTATAACATTATTCCTCTTTGGGCCCTTCCATACAGTCCTATATCCCAGAATATCAAGGCAGAAAATCCCACAATATCTACTTTGAACTGAGTTATTTGAGTCCACACTGTGGGATTTTCTGCCTTGATATTTTGGGATATAGGACTGTGTGGAAGGGCCCTTTGATATCACTTTAACTGCTATGGAATCCTAGGATTTGTAGTCTAGCGAGGCATTACTTACTTGGCATAAACCCTCTGACAGAAGGCCAAAAATCTTGAAAAATTACAATTCCCATAATTCCATTGCATTGAACTATAGCAATTAAAGGGGCAACAAACTGCACAGATGCATCCTAAGGGTCCTTAAACACAGCCATATAACCCAGAATATCAAGGCAGAAAATCCCATAATATCTGCTTTGAACTGGGTTATCTGTGTCCATACTGTGGGACTTTCTGCCTTGATATTCTGGGATATAGGACCGTGGAAGGGCCCTTTGATACCACTTTAACTACTATGGAATCCTAGGATTTGTAGTTTAGTGAGGCATTACTTACTTGGCATAAACCCTCCCTGGCAGAGAAGGCCAAAAACCTTGAAAAATTACAATTCCCATAATTCAGTTGCATTGAGCTATAGCAATTAAAGGGGCAACAAACTGCACAGATGCATCCTAAGGGTCCTTAAACACAACCATATAACCAAGAATATCAAGGCAGAAAATCCCACAATATCTGCCTTGAACTGGGTTTTCTGAGTCCACACTGCCATATATTCCAGAAAATGTAGGATTATATTTAGCTGTGTGGAAGGGGCCCCTTCTACAAAATCCAGTTTATCTGCTTTGAACTGGATTATTGCAGTGTAGACTTATATAACCCAGTTCAAAGCAGATGATATTGATTATTTTTCTTCAATAATCTGGATTATATGGCAGTGTAGAAGGGGCCTCCAGGCCTTTCGACATAGCCATATAACCCAGAATATCTTCTTTGAACTGGGTTATCTGAGTCCAGAAAATGTGGGATTATATTTAGCTGTGTGGATGGGGCCCCTACCTGTTGTATTTTAGGACAACAAAAATGTGAGCATGTGTCATGGAATAAGAGTAGCATCACACCACTTTCCTTGGTTCCAAATGGTTTTGTTTATCTTGTCTTTGTCTTTCCTGATTACTTGGTGAGAATGGGATTTTAAAAAACTAACCGTGTGTTCTTCCAGAAGGGAAAACTGTCTTGAATACAGTGCTTGAGCAGGCATTATGTTCATGTTCCTGAGAAAGGCAGAATATACATAAATAAATAAAATCAACTGAAGTATCTATTGCTTTTTCTGTTTTTATTCTCATGCATTTTTTCCAGCATTAAATCACCAATCTGTTAGAAGTCTTTTGAAACTTGGTAGCACATAACCCCATACCAAACATCTGTTTAAAAAACTCCAGTGTTTTCTAAGCAGTTTAAAACTGATAAAAGAAGAATCTTACTCAAAAGCATGGTTGTGTTTAAAGATATTGCAAGCACTACAGCACTAACTAGGACTTGCTTTTCTCATATATACTGTATGTAATTGCTGTAGATAACAGGTCATGAGTACAAGAGATGCACACCGTCTATATGACTGCTGAGAAGACACAAGTAGTTGTGACATAACCCAGTGCAAACAGCTTGCATATTAGTGATGTTCAAGGAAACAATTTCACATTAAAGAACATTAGCCTTTCATTTGTGCTAAAATTCTGTAACATGTAAAGTGCCCTTTAGCCAGTGTTGCTTAATAAGGCAAGTGTGGGCATTTTCAGTGGTGCTTAACTTTTCTATGCAAACATGATTGAAGCCACAGTTGTGGAAAACAAAGTGCATTAAGTGTTCCTCTTTTCTAGAACTGTAACATAGATTCACAGCCTGTACTTAATGATCTATGTTTAAATTATTTAAATGGGCTGTTTACCTGTTTTAAATCTGAGAGGTTTCCCTTTGGCTGTCTCTTTTTCTTTAGGTTTCTAGAGGATGGCTACCAGGAGAAGGGCACGTGAAACCGCCTGTTGACATGCTGGTTCATGAAGAACGAAGAGATGGGGCTGATCTATTAAAATTAATACCTATCAATACACCAGATACTATTGGAGATGCCCATTATACTTTAAAGGGCTTTTAAAAGGAGATATTTTTTTCTGTTTTTGGAAGTTGTTACCTTCTGGAGCCATGACTCCTTCCACCAGTTCTGTGTACAGGAAACTTCTGTATTTGTCCCCTTACTGTGGCCATCTTGGAGTGATTTTGGCCAGGAACTGTGTCCTGCATCCTTGCCACAGACTGCTAAGGCAGTGTTCACATTCTAAGGCTGGCTTGGTGACAGCTGCTGAACTGGTCAGCTACTGGCAAGATGTGTTTGAGGCCAATGAGATCCCTGAAGCACGGGCTTCTTCTGAATATATTGTTTCTCATGTTCTGGGAGCAAAAACAGTTAAGTGTTATGAAGTATTTTAAGTCTGCGCAAAGCATTGGAATGAATATCTGGAGGCCTGTCACATGTATGATGTTCCAGTTAATTCTAGACCTAGTCTGTGAGATAAAGAGCACTTCTTGTAGACCAGATATGAGAAATGTTTAACCTTCCAGATTTTATTACAGTGAAACTCCATCAGCCCTAGCCAGCATAGTCAGCAATGACAGGAGTTACAGTCTAGTAACATCAGAATAACCACATGTTTTCCTTTTCTGTTATAGATTTAAAGTGTAAACTCCTCTGCTTTTGTCAAGGTATATTGAGGATGCACTTGCATGTTGCAATAGCATCTGAGTTCAGTTCATCCTGTTTATATCTCTAGCAAGTGCAAAAAATTCCTCTTCCAACTGTCTCATTCTCCTGCATGGAATTTCTTCACTATTACGACTACCATGCAGCTTCAAGGGAATAGCCATGTTAATCTAGGTCAGTATCCCAAGGAATATTGAGGTACTTTGAGACTAACTGAGAGAAAGATGTTCGTAACGTTAAGATTTCAAACACTGGATCTACTTCATCAGTGGCATCTGAGGAAATAGACCTAGTCTACAAAAACTTATCCTACAAATTTCTTCCTCTCATTTAGTCTCAAAGGTGTTAAAAGATCCCTTCGCATCTCAGACAAGTTGTTAAATACAAACCTTCTTGAAAAGTGGATTAAAGATAGATTTATGGGAAATAGGTCTATTAACAACTGTAATAGCTCTTGGTACCCTGTGTGTTTAGAGGCACAATGTCCAGAGATAATGAAGTTTTCAGAAATTTTGAAACTGTATGAAAAAAACTGGAAAAAAGCAATATTAACATGCTTGGAAGATTGAAAGTCACTTTGTTGTTTTGGGAATGTAAAATATAACTTTGTCTGGTATTAAACTTACCATGTTTTATTTACTTAAAAACCCTAAACGGTTCTGGCCCAACCTACCTATCCGAACGTATCTCGGCCTATCAGCCCACCAGGACCCTAAGATCTTCTGGGGAGGCCCTGCTCTCTATCCCGCCTGCTTCACAGGTGCGGCTGGCGGGGACGAGAGACAGGGCCTTTTCTGTGGTGGCCCCTCGACTATGGAACGCCCTTCCCATGGAGGTAAGATCAGCCCCCTCACTGATGGTGTTCCGAAGAAGATTAAAAACCTGGATGTTCGAACAGGCATTTGGTTAATCGGTGCAATGAATGTGATGATTACAGGAATGGTAATATGGACGACGAAACTGGATCACGATTTTAGTCAGGAGATGCATTGGATTGTTATTGATGTACCAATATTGTGTATTATGTTTTTATGGTTTTAAATTGTATACTGTTGACTATTGTATTTGGTATTTTGTTGTAAACCGCGTTGAGTCGCCAGCTAGGCTGAGAAACAGCGGTATACAAGTACAGTAAATAAATAAATAAATAATAAATTTATTCAGACTAATTTAATTTTTTTTGTTACAACAGAGTTACAAATTCCAAATCTCACAAAAGTATGATACAATTTTTGACCAAACCTAATGCACAAACCACTTTATGCAAGCTTTTGAAGCTCTTCTGGCTTTTTTGTCATGTTAACTTCATTTGTGGATTTTTGATTTTGTTTCATTTTGCTGTTTGTCCAACACAGTACCTTTGAATAAAAATCTTGAATTGTAAGCAACTCCTGAATTATAAGGAACTGAATTGAGTTTGTCAGTGTGTCATAAACCTGCAAAACAAAACAAAAAAACAGAAGAGTATCAAAGAACTGTTTTGTCTCCTATAGTCCTCTGCAGTATCAAAGCAGACATAAAGCACTTATTCCCATAAAAGGAACAGAAAAAAAAAGAAAAGAAAAGTCCAGAAAATGCAATGGTGTGATACTGCATATAGGCTTATATAAATGTTTTTGCCTAGTTTTCATATAATAAATACATAAACCTTGCCTTAAACTGTTTATCATTTTAGAAGGAAGAAACAAGATCCATTTTTTTTTATAGAAAATAAGGCTTTTGGGGGGGAAAGGAAACTGTGTTTTTTAACTGGGCTATTTTATATCTTATTTTGTTTCCCAAGATCTAACATTGTTTCCTAAGATTTAGTCTCCTATCTTGGGAAACAAGATAGGAGACAAGATGGACTCTGGCCTCATCCTGAACTGTGATTGGCTGCCTCTAACCAAGCAAGACTTTTATTTTAGAATCAATGCATATGAAAGCTGCCCCCCTCCCTTTTCCAGGTCCTCAGCAGCATGGCCATTCGATGCTGTAGTCCCCATTTAATTTTTCTAACTCTGCCATTGGCTTCATATCAGTATTCTGACATTTACACACTTGATTTGGTGAGCTAACAGTAAATTTAAACACTTGCATTTGACTTCCTTTTCAGTTTCAGAGCTTAAATGCTGGCAACATTTCTCCTTACTTCTCAGTCCAGCAGCAGGAACAGGTTGAGCAGCTGTGTGCAAAACGCCTTCAAAGGTGAGTGGCTATACCAACATACTTGCCTTTTTCCAGAACTTTACAGAAAAGTTGGCAGAAGGGAGGAAGGAAGGGGATCTGTCAACTCTCAGGTGCCTAGCAGATGATTGTGGCTTGTGTCATGAAAAAAAATGGAAGAAATGTGCTACATTTGTTGTTTCTTTAAAGGGGAATCTGACTGTCCAGTTTAGAAAAGATGCATCCTTATATATTGTTTAGTTAAAATGCTTATAGGTGTAAATAAAAAATGTTTCATTGCATGGTTCTGGCAGTGAGACTTTTGTATTCTCAGAGGTAGAAAAATATTGACAATACAACAAAAGATGACAGGATTTTTGAAGTCTTTCAAAATGACAGAAATAGGGAAGATTATCAACTCTAGATAACTTTAAAAGACTGGGAACTTTTTATCATTTATAAAGGATAAAGTAGAGAAGACAACACTTGAGGGTTTTGATAACTGGGTTTTATTGTTTAATTTTTAGAAAAAAGTATCAAAGTTTTAGAGAAGCTTATGATACCTTTGTATTGAAGTTGTTGGCTTGATTGGTGGGAAATCAATTTTAATTTCTTTTTCTTGGTAGATGGTGGGAGTAAGAAGGTGGGTAGGTTAGTAACTGATTCAGCTTTTTAAAGTATCATTTTTTCTAGTTTGTTTTGTGTGTATTTTCTCTTGCAACATAGCAAATATATATAAAACAAGTAATAAAAATGAAAGCTCTGTTCAGTACATACTAGTGCTGAAGGGAGTTGTTAAGTTATCCCTCCCATTCTGCAATACAGCAGAAGGCCTATAGCTTTCCATTTAGTATTTAAATAAATCATGAGTAAATCTCTTTAAATCCACAGGGCTTTAGTAAGAACAGATCTGGCAGGGAGAAGTAGAATTATTAGGTTTACAAAAATGGCATCCAGAAATTAAGTGGCCTTGTATAATTTAAATAAATGAAGTATTTTCCATAAAAGACAAACAGGAAAGAGATCATATTTTCCATTCTCAATTTCAAAACCTGCTTACATAGAGTAGCTATATAAGGGTAGTTATGAAAAATAGTTCATAAAAGTATTCAATTGAATATGTTTCTTAGACACCAGATTATTGACATTTGTAGTTACAAGACCTGAGTTGGGTGCATTTCTATGTTAAAGTTGCAATTTCTTTATTGATTATTTATGAATTAGGATTTGAATGCGTAGGTGGAATGTAATAGATTTATTTTACAACAGTACATTTAAATTGCTTGCTTGTTCTTTGGCCTGATATTACAGTGATGTAACTATTGTTTAATCTTGTTGTTGGATCAAAAGAGTTGTTTTTGATGTGGATTTTTCAAAATGAAAGATTATAACAATAGCATTAAATGGACCATCTAAGCTTTGGATTTTCTGCTTAGAGACTCAGGTGTGGTTTATCTCCTTTAACCCCATTCCAGAAAATAGAAGCATCTGCCATTGTGGGTGCTGAGAAAAAGGATTGGAAATGTCTAACACCTTTTCCGTGCTAGCACTCCCAACTTTCCTAGACATAATAACTGCAACATGTACATCATGTTTTACATTATGTCCCTATTTCATCTCTATTTCATCCATAATGAAAACACTTGGGTTTTGATTAGCCACAGATAGGCTTTGTATTTCAATGGTTTTAACAAGAAATAATTTGAAAAAAGGATGTATGTTCTCATCAAAACTTACAGCACAGTCCTTGATATATCAACTCAAAGATAAGCTCAATTTGTATTCAGTAGGTCTGTTTTCTGAATAGGCACACATAGGATTGCAACTGTATTAAGTTAGAATGGATATATCCTTAACTTCAGTAGTTTATCTTTATGTTGTGCTAAATTAACTTGTCTTTGTAATCTTCTTTGCTATTTCTCACTGCTTGTAACAGTTGAATGAGCCATATTTACAATCCAAACAAGTTTTGGCTGGATTAAGTAACACAGGTTGAACATCTCTTATGTGAAATATTTGGGACCAGGAGCGTTTTGAATTTTGGAATATCAATTTTTGCATATAAATAATGTGATATCTTAGATATGAGACTCATATTTCAACATGAAATCTATTTCTTCTTCACATGCACTTTATACACATGACATGAAAGTAATTTTATATAATAGTTTTAATATTGTACATGAAATAAATGTGTGTACATTGCGCCTCCAGAAGACAAGGGTGTTGCTAATTTAGCCACTCATGTGGTCAATTCTGGAATATTTTGGATTTTGGAATTCTGGATAAGGGATGCTCATCCCACACTATCATTACCAAAACTTTATAGTAAAGAATTCCAAAACCTTTATGATATAAAGTAGAAAGAGACTCTCTTAAACCCTTGGATAATATCATTCCTATTTAGGGATTTCACTTTTTCAGCCATCTAGTTATTTTCCAGCAGTCTGTTTGAATAGGATAGCATTTATAGACTGTCTTTCAACATAAGACTTTTCAACAAGATATCTTACAGTAGCCCAAGGAAACTGTTAGAACAGTGTGTAAAAGTCTTTAAAAGTAAAAACAGTTTTTTAAAAAAATGAAAGCTGGATGGTAGATTTGGCCCTTTTCATCTTCCACTTTGAACTTAAGATGCAATGAAGCAACTTGGTCTTTTGGCTTAGGAAAATTTTGGATGCAATGGTTTCCTTTATTCTCCTTATTGTTAATTGATACAGGTAAGTATCGGAAAGGTTATTAATCATAGTAAGCCGATTTCCCCATCAGAGATTAAAATTAGATAAGAAAACTAGATGCCTAAGTGTGGCAGTAATTACCACATGTAAAGATCTCAGTTCATGATATCAGTGAGAAGATTGTACAAATACATTTGCATGTGATTAGGCTTTGTAGGCAAAGCAGAAGAAATGAAATTTAAAAACCTAAAAAAAGCAAGAACTGTAGCCTTAGTTTCAGCTGTGAAGTTAGTAGTAGGCCCCAAATGGCATGATCCTATTCATGTTTACCTAATTCCTATTGACTGGACTACAGCCATTTGTTGAGAATTATGTAGATAATCCAATTTCATCAATAAACAGAAACATGAATGAGTTTATGGTTGTGCATATAGCTGATTCAGTATTTTCATTTTGTAATTCAGTATATAAGCCAGGAAATCTTCACTTATGTACAGAATATCATTTGGTCTGAACCAGGACAACACGAAAGTTTACAGTTTTGGGACACATCAGGATACAAAACTATGGTTTAAAGTTGGCATGATATGCTGGCTGGTTCTGAAGCTATTAGCCAGATTTTCCTGGTTTGAAGTAACAACCCACAATTTTAAATTAAGGAAGTCTTTGCTTATTTGCCAGCATACGTGGAGAAGCAAAGAGATTCATTTTCTCATCCTGCTTTATTAACCTGAAATACAATATTTGAAATGTGTTCATGGGTTTTTTCCAGCAAAATTATACTTGAGGTTTACAAAACAAATAAGAACCCTACTGGCACAGCCCTTGAGAAGAAAAATATGAGGAAAACTTGATTATAGCTTCCTTGACCAGACGGATTTTGTTTTTAATACAGCTTTTTCTTAATCTCAGCAAGCAGAAGAGATACAAACATATGGTTTGCGTTATTACAGGCGACAACACAGGACATTGTCACTCCTTTTCTTTAGCATTTTCCATTTCTTATTCTGTATCCCAAAATATCAGTAAAAAAACATATTCCAGTTGGAATAACTCATTCCATTTGGAAAAACTCATGGGAGGCTGGGGCTGACAGACAGGAGCTCACCCTGTCTCGTGGATTCGAACGTTGACTTTCGGGTCAGCAGTTCAGCCGGCACAAGAATTTAACCCATTTCACCACCACGGCTCCTTTGTATGACATAGTAAGTGGGGAAATACTGAGCAATTCTGACTGAATACTGTGTGATTGGTGCTGTTGTGGGACTCAGAAAGGCCCCATGGTTCAGGACATTAACTGTAGGTCATAAACCTTTGGGCCTTTGTGACTGCTATAACAGCACCAATTGCATAGTCTTTGGTAGAGGCTTTGCTAACTGAGATATATGTCAGTAGTTTTTCCCCTTGTGACACAGAAAGCAGCAGAATAAAAAGGATGCAAGGGATTGAGTTTAGATTTGTTAAGCAATGCAAATACTTTGATTACTCCGCTTCTCTTAATCACAATGCCTTTCCAAACACTCTGATCAACATTACTTGGATCTGAGTGTGCCTGGGAGCTAAAATGTATAATCATGTCAGTTTCTGAAGCCATGAGTGGATGTTGAATTAAGCATGCTAGAGCTTTCCTTTGATTCTGTTACAAAAAAACCCACAAAGAGTTGGTTAGTTTATGCTTCCTTAGAAGGGGATGTGTGTCTGACTTATGAGAGAAGGCAACAGAAGTGATTGATTGAGATAGTTGCAGAAATACAGCGACTCCCTGGTCTTCCCTATTGTTATATTTTTTGTATTTACCGTTTAATTTATGCTAGCTGCACCTAAGGCCATATATATAGTGATCATCAAAATGCTGAACCAGGTGACAGGATCCTGAATTTATTCTGTCCTACTGGATGCAATTGGCCACATCACATGCTGCTATGTTCTCTAATGAATAGAAGTCATTGGAAACTAACCACGTAGAAAAAAGAAATAATGCAGAAGATTCAATTACATTGTGGCTTGTATGGACAGTCACAATATATCTAGAAGTAAAAGTTTGGTCTCCCTTTTCAGAAAAACAAAGTCTCCAAAAATGAACAATGTTGTTGCCTCCAATTCCACCTGTGAGGAAATGGTGCTGAGTATTCCTTTAAAAGCTCTCTCTTTTCCACTGGTAGAAACTTGATGGCATGACTTACAGATGCTATGGGTTCAGGAAATGTTGGAGAGCTCTGGCTGCCTGGCCAATTCACACCACAATTGCCATTTGTGTCCCATGCTTCATTTCTAGAGTGCCCGACTGCCACACCAGTGGGACAGGCAGATGGAGAACATAGTGTGGATTGGCTGGGCAGCCAGAGTACTTGGATACATGTGGATGTTTCTCTCCAGTGACATCTGCTTTTTTACAGAGGCTTTATGCAAGACGAGATGCAAAAGCTTCAGTCCTTCCCTTCCTCCTTTTTGTCTGTCAAATTTCTGAGAGTAGTGGGGGGGGGGGGGCGGGTCAGCTCCTTGAGAAAAACCCAGAGGACGCTGGATATGTAGCTAGCTATCCTCCTTTAACTCCTATTCCTCATTTGCTATGTAAACATATTTACAGACATCCCAAAAATGAAAACACAGTAGAGTCTCCCTTATCCAACCTTCGCTCATCCAACGTTCTGTATTATCCAGCACAGTCTGCCTCCCACCCTAGGCAGCAACCTAGTTCATTTTAAGTTCATTTTATGCAATTCTGTCTTTATTTGTAGTCAAGTTTTTAGTAGTCAATGTTTTTATGGTCAATGTTTTCAATACATTGTGATGTTTTGGTGCTAAATTTGTAAATACAGTAATTACTCCACAACATTATCATGTATTGAACTACTTTTTCTGTCGATTTGTTGTAAAACATGATGTTTTGGTGCTTAATTTGTAAAATCATAACGTAATTTGATGTTTAAAAGGCTTTTCCTTAATCCCTCCTTATAATCCAACATTTTTGCTTAGCTAACGTTCTGCCAGCCCATCTATATAAATAAAAATGTAATGTTCATTTGTGGGATAACATAACGCAAAAACCACTGGACGAATTGACACCAAATTTGGACACAATACACATATCAGGCCAACGGGTGACTATCACTCACAAAAACACTGAAAAACACAGCAGAAGAGACTTTAAAAGCCAAAAAATAAAAAATACATTACAACGCATTTGCAAAACCATACATATATACACATATATACAAGTATATTCGCACACAAAACACATATACACAGACTGGGCCACAGCAACGTGTGGCAGGTGACGGCTAGTGTTGGATAAGTGAGACTCTAACTGTAGCTGAAAAACCTCTGGTCCCAAGTATTTCAGTTAAGAGAGGCTCAACCTGTTTGCATTGCACATTGAATGCAGCCTTATGGAAGACCAGGAATGTATTCTACATTACTGTGCAGTGCTTATGAAGCCTGAAATTCTACAGTCCACTTACTACTTCATTAGTGACATTTATCTTTATAAATAAAAATGTAATGTTCGTTTGTGGGATTAACATAACTCATAAACCACTGGACCAATTGACACCAAATTTGGACACAATACACCTATCAGGCCAATATGTGACCATCACTCATAAAAACACTGAAAAACACAGTGGAAGATACTTAAAAAGCCAAAGAATAAAAAATACATTACAACGCATGCACAAAATAACATATATACACATATACACTAATACATATACACACATATACTCATATATACACAAAACACATATACACAGACTGGGCCACAGCAACGCGTGCCAGTGGACGGCTAGTATTCCATAAAGGAACATTCATGAGTACCTCAACAGACTTCTGGGATACTTCTGAGTTTCATTGCTCTGTGAGGACTTGAACCCAGATATCCCAATTCCCAGTCTGAAAACATTAAGCAGTTTGACCAGAGATGAGATATAGGTTGCTTTTTTTAGTTGGTCTTCAGTGACGTGTGTTTCAACTGTTCTCTAGTAATGGCAAGTAAATAAAACCTGTGAAAGAAGACTCCGACCCAATAACTGGCAGCACAATAGTACACAGTCTGTCATGGGAAACTGATGGTATCTTTTTTGCATCACTGGTTAAAATCTTTTAACTTCTCATCAAATAACATTTGGACACTTTCTCAGAGCACTGAGCGTTCTCTTTCCCTTGTGTTTCATCCATTAAGGGAAAGTACAGCCAGTACAGTTGCGTGTGCTTTGGAGGGCACAATGGTAACTTGAAAGTGATAACAAGCTCTTATAAATAATTGGAATCCAGGCCAGGTACACCATGTAACTTGCCTCCTTCTTTTACAGAATGCCAGTGCAATACGTTCTTGGAGAGTGGGATTTCCAGGATCTGACACTCAAGATGAAACCTCCGGTCTTCATTCCTCGACCAGAGACTGAGGCAAGTAATCAGAAATGCCTCTCTAGTGAGCTGGGTTGCTACAAATGTCCTCCCACCCAGACTTGTCCTTTGGAGGAAACAGAGTGCCAGTTGTCTGTCAAGAAGCTGTTTATACCTTGTCAGTATCAATTTTATGGGTGATTCTTATTCCGGGACAATGGCACATTAATTTCTTCTCCAACATATTTTGTGTTGGTCTGAAACTCCAGGCTGATATATAAACTCTTAGAGATGACCATTGCTTTCCTCTCTGTTAGAATAATTTCAAAGACATCACTGTAGATATATTTGTTAAAGGAGTTGATTGATGGAGTTTTACTAAGGTAGAGATAAGAGATATGACCTATCTCTGTATTGGTTAGAACTTGGCAATGGAAGGTAAGCAAATAAAGTGATCTAAAATAATTTGAAGCCTAACTGGTGGGTGTTTTGCAGTATGGGCAGTACAAGAGATGGGAAACTATTGATTCCCCTATTGGCTTGAACTATTAAGAAATGGAGGCAAAAAAAAACCTTGGCTTGAACTATTAAGAAATGGAGGCAAAAAAAAAATTTAATTGCATCATGTCATTATTGGTTACTTCGTCTGTAAAAGTCAGGAAATCATTATAGTAACACACTTATAGTGAAATATTACACATGTCTATAGCAATTATTTCTGCTAACAATTCCCCAGGCCTTCAACCAATTTTTTTAAAAATTTCCCCATGAAATGCAAACAAGTATTGCTGGGATGCATTCAATTCCTTCATGGACTAACTAGCTTTTAGAAAAACAGCCCTGGAGGCTGTAATGCTGAATAGATGCACAGTGGGAAAGGCTATTTAATCCAAAAGCCACTTAACCACAGGACCACTCATCTTGTCAGGGACTAGTGAATATTGATTCATCCAACACAATCCTGGAACTCCCTCCCCAAGGACATCAGGTAGGCCCCAACGTTGGCAGTTTTTAGAAGGAGCTTGAAGACGTGGATTCTTCAAGTGCGCCTTAATACATAATAAGGACTCCCAAGCAATATGTCCCAAATGCACTTTACGAGAGAGTTAGTACTGTCTACACGCCCACCTATCTTTAAAATATCCAACCTATTTCCCTGGACATGTCCAGCATTTTAAAATTTTAATTCTTACATTTGGCCCTGCCACATGACATGACGTTTTTAATTGTGTCATGTCATTATTGTATTGCTTTGTTTTGTTATGAGTTATTTATTGTTGTATTGTTGTTGTTATGTTTTATGATGTATTTGGGCTCGGCCTCTTGTAAGCCACACCGAGTCCTGCAGGAGATGGTAGTGGGGTATAAATAAAGGTTTATTTATTTATTTATTTAATCCTACTTCCAAGTACTAATCCATCACCTGCATGGCCTCACCTGACTTGGATAACAGGGAGAAATAGAACTGTGTGTTTTCAGCATACCTCATTGGGTGCTTCCAGAAGGCCTGCAGAGAGGCCTAATAGTGACCTGGTAAGTTTTCATTTATTGTTAATGCTTTGAGGAGCAGGGGAGGTTGACGGAGGGATGTCCTCTTTGCTTCTCTGGCCTCATGGGGCCCGAAGAAGAAAATTGGTCTGTGGGTACAGACTACTGGGACTGCTTCTGTAGTAGCCTGTCCCCACAGGGCCCACACCCCATTTGAAAGGCCCATATCTAATGAGGTACAAAGCCAGGTTTACCTGCTTTGTCTCAAATTACTTCACTTTTACCGGAGGCATCATTTGGACAAGATCTGCATAGTTAAAGCAATGGTATTCCCTGTAGTAACCTATGGATGTAGAGCTGGGCCATAAGGAAGGCTGAGCGAAGGAAGATAGACGCTTTTGAACTGTGGTGCTGGAAAATTCTGAGAGTGCCTCGGACCGTGAGAAGATCCAACGAGTCCATACTTCAGGAAATAAAGCCCGGCTTCTCACTGGAGGGAAGGATATTAAAGGCAAAGATAAAGTACTTTGGCCACATCGTGAGAAGACAGGAAAGTTTAGAGAAGACAATGATGCTGGGGAAAATGGAAGGAAAAAGGAAGTGGGGCCGACCAAGGGCAAGATGGAAGTGACTGACTTGACTCTGAAGGAGCTGGGGGTGGCGACGGCCAACAGGGCGCTCTGGTGTGGGCTGGTCCATGAGGTCACGAAGAGTCGGAAGCGACTGAACGAATAAACAACAACAACAAAAGGTAAAAATCCGACAGGGCCTGGGATATGGACCCTGTCTGGAAGGACCCATTGACATCTTATTCCATATCCCCTGGTGATCTCTCCCAGAGTTTCATATACAGTACATTGTGAAAATCTTTCTTGAATGATTTGGATGCCAAATTCCTCTTTGCTGAGCAAAGCTTGCAAGGTGATGGCCCAAGATAAATCACTGCTGATGTTGTGCCTTTCTGTGCCATGCTCTTATTGTCCTCAAACAACACCAGCCCCACCCATCCTCAATCATTAAACAAATGCCTCCTCATGTGATGCAAGCAGTTATAGTATTGCTCAGTCTGCCCATAGGTTGCATCATTACCACCAGTCTGTGCCAGCCAACCTTAATTCACCGACTGACACCTGTTTGAGTTCACTTACAGCAAGAACTTAACAAGAACAATGAAGAAAGAACTACCAAAATCTATACTCTTAAAAAGCAGGCAAAAAGCAAGGTTGAGCTTTCTTTTCATCTTCAAATCTAGTTGAACTTCTGCTCTAAGCTTCTTCTCCTTTTCAGTGTAGATGTTAGCTGAACTATATTGAAATTTTGGAATTCTCACCTTACTGTTTGTGAGGGCTAACTTTGATTCTGCATTCCATCCATTGAGAAGCTGGAATGGACATTTAGGGACACCATATTTGAATAGAGATATGTGGAAAGGGTGCATATATTCCCTTTCTCCATATATATATATATATATACACACACACACAAGTCTGGCTTCCCAGAATGCTGGCAACATTAGGGAAGTAACATGATTAAAGCAATCTGAATATGCAAAGTCTTTGCTGAATAAGTGCAAAATTGAAATAAAATACTTTACTTAAGAATCCCTGCATGTCATTGGTGCTAGTTCAGTTTGTTGGTGGTCTAGATCAGAGCTTGGACAGGTTACTTGAATTATAACTCACAGAATTCCATAGCCAGCATACAGCAGGTTGGGGAGAAATGCAGTTCACATTGTGATTACATTAGTTAGCTGACCATCAGGATATCTGTAGCTTACATTAAATTATGGAAACCTTGGCCAAAAGCATCTATCAAGGCTGAATATAAATGTATAGCTTCGTGGATTCACCAGAAAGCGATATTTATACAATTGTTAGATGAATGGCTGACTAGTTCCTGTAATCACTAGGTTTCCAACATTGGTGGGTCAGTGTGTTGTATTAAAGCAGTGGGGCTTCTCTTGTTGGTGATTTTCCAGGGATTTCTTGTTAAGATGAAAAGAAAATCATTAGCATTAGAATGTATCTCTAGTGAATGTTCTTCAGAAGAAACATACAGCAAATTTCTTGTCATCTTTTCTTTGATTGCAACTCTGTGAGTCTGTTGAGTGCTTTGCAAAATGTTCTTAATAGTATTTGACAAAATTGGTTGTTGCAGGGACTCTTCCAAAAATTAAGTTAGTTGTCAAATCACTGTAAAAGAGACTAGCTCCTATTTGCTCAGTGCCTGGGTATGGATCCAAATGTATGAGGCAGTGGGAGGGGAAAAATCGAATGAGAAAACCACTGTTTCTGATTTTGGTATCCTAAAGAGGACAAGTACATAAATATTCAATTTGGGGTGCCCATTTTGTTTATGGGTATAAATTTCCACCATTAGAAATTCTTTTCACTGGGTTGTTAGAATGCAGACTTGAAATGTGGGCTGAAGCAGGCTAACTATAATGAAGCCAGCTGGATGTGGGCTATACGGTTTGCTTCTTGAAAGATGACCTAATATAGACTTTAGATAGATTTCTAAATGTGATCTGGGAAAAAGAAATCCCTCAAGTAATGAACTTGTGGTAACAACTGTTCAGTTATTCGTAGACAGTATGTAATGCAAACTGATACATAACACTAAAGATGGAGGACCATGAGACGCAATCCTGTAGCTGAAGGGAAGTGAATAGCTAAGGGTATTGATACGTCTTCTTTTGGAAAAAAAAATCAAAGGCCAGATCCATTTTGAATTGCAGTCTTCCTCAGTGGTTAGTGTTTCCAAGTTTTCAGAGTAAGGGACAATCAAAATTAAAGGCATTCAGGGTTGATTGTAAGGCAGTAGCTATTTGTGTTCTACCTAAATATCAAATGATAGCATTGATTTTAGTTAACCTATTCATATATTTCTCTGTACAATTAACACATTACCCACATTCATAATTTACACCCGTATCTGTCTTTATGAAGTGGGCACAGACCAAAACACAAGATTTTTGGACATCTTGGTCCATCTATTTAAAAAGAAAACTGTTCCAGACACCAGCTGTGGAACATCTATATATATAAAAATGCTCTGTGCATAAAGAGTACCTTAAAAACAAAAGAACCAATGAACGAAATCACACCAAATTTGGCAACAAAACGTCTCACAACACAAGGAGTGACAATCACTCAAAAATTCTGATTTTGTCATTTAGGAGTTGTAGTTGCTGGGATTTATAGTTCACCTATAATCAAAGAGCATTCTGAACTCCACCAATGATGGAATTGAACCAAACTTGCCACACAGAACTCCCTTGACCAACAGAAAACACTAGAAGGGTTGTGTGGGCATTGACTTTGAGTTTTGGAGTTGTAGTTCACTTACATCTAGAGAGCACTGTAAACTCAAACAATGATGGATCTGGACCAAACTTGGCACGAATACTCAATATGCCCAAATATAAACACAGATGGAATTTGGGGAAAATAGACGTTGACATTTGGGAGTTGTAGTTACTGGGATTTATAGTTACCCTACAATCTAGGAGCATTCTGAACCCCACCAATGACAGATTGGGACAAACTTCCCACACAGAACCCTCATGACCA